TCAAAAGTTATAAAAGTAGAACAGTTTTTGAAATATAATCAATTTTACATATAATATGGAATTGACTATATCCCAAAAACTGCTTAACTTTTATAGTTTTTGACGGTCTTTTCGGATTCAGGGGACAATTTACCATAAGAATTGGATGGTAAATGTCCGGGATATAAATAAAGTATGATATTGGATATATGTCCAATAATAGAAATTTACATTTTTTACCAACCAGTAGTTGGACACTGGCCATTTTACTGTTTGTTTTCAGAATTAAAACGCATTAAAGTGACAATGAGGAACACATTTATACCACACACTGATCTGTACACTTTTTAGAAATATTTTTTATTGTAATTTAAACACAGCCCTGCTCTTAACAAAACAAAAATTCACAATCTGCAGTAGTTATATAAAATTACAAATATTATACAAAATTAAATAACATTGTATAGTCTGTAGGAATTCTATTACAGGACGTGTACAGTATTTACTTTTTTGAAGACCAGATCTAACAATTGATGCAGATCTGACAACACGGCGTACATTTGAACTACTTTCATGTTTAACTGTCATATAAGTGAGGTTATACGGTGTATCCTTATCAAAAATATAGTATTTTTTCAATTAAACACAGTATTGAGGTATTTTGCAATCAAAATGTTGATAAACGATGTGTATATTATTGTTTTTCTGTTACAGATGACAGTTTTTACTAAAAACAGAAGACTTTTAGCAGGATTAGGTGCCATATCCGGTTTAGCCAGTATATATTATTTAAATGGTGAGACTAAAACGGTTTTAAATGCTTGGACTACGAATTATGTGCCCTCAGCGTTTGCCAAATGGGACGATAACTGGGACCAGTAAGAATTTTATTTATTTTATAGTTTTAAAAGGTTAAATAAAGTTATGATCATTATGTGGCTATGGGTCCTAATTAAACTAAAAAAAATTTAATTGTTATTTTTTTTGAAAATTAGTAGGGAACCTGAAAGTCTCAGAAAGCTGAAAAGTCGGCATGTATTAAACGAAATGGGCGATAATAATAATAATAAGATAAACGAGGACTTGGAAAATCTCAAACCAAAAGCATATAGGCACATAATATTAATAAGGCATGGCCAATATAACATAGACGGTAAACATGATGAACAAAGAATTTTAACCAAACTTGGCAGAGAACAGGCAGAATATACAGGAAAAAGGTTAAAAGAATTGGATTTCCCTTACACAGATATGGTTAAGTCTACCATGTCTAGGGCACAGGAAACTGGCAGTATTATATCAAAACTTTTAAGTGAGGTTAGTAAAATTTAGGGTAAACCACATAGTTATTGGACACTTAAGGAATATTATTTATTTAAAATTTATATATGCTGTTGTTTAAAGATTTTAGTTTTTTTCTTATAAATATATTAAAAGGATAGTTTGTTTGTTTAAACTTTATTTACGTTTACTTAAAAATAAGAATATTTGAATTTTTAATAATAGTTTTATGAAAACATGCAAAAAAGTATAGTAATTGGACATTTTATATAGTAATTGGCACAGTGTCCCTTAGAAAAAAATAGGTATTTTAAAAATGTCAACGAAATCTCTTTATGGATACTTATTGTGGACTATTTGGCACCACCAAAACAAAGTTCGGTTAAATCAAAGCTGATCGGATAAACCTTATAATTTATTTTAAATATGAATATTATTTTCTTGCTATCTCTTTATTAATGCTGATGATATTATAGTACCTTTGATAAATAGGAAATTAAATTAAGGGTTCAGAATCGTTTAATTGAATAAAAAATAACAAAATTTAACACAACTTACAATTACAAATGTGTAGAAGAAAACTCTACAACTGCTTTTAACAAAAAATCACCGTGTCTAAGGTCGTTAACATTGTTTAATTTATATCTGCTCCATGATTTTAAAAACTCTCGATGAAGAGATTCTCCCGAGTTTCCGAAATTCCAGTGGCTTTAAAGGTTTTTCTTAAATGGACAATGTTCTTTTTGAGTTCCTGACCAACGCGACTAGAAAAACAATCTTCAACAACTTTGTTCATTGCCTTTAATGCTGCAGATATCATGATATTATTGGAACAATTTGTAAAGGGCTAACTTTTTCACGAATGACCTTAATATCGAGAATACAATCAGAATTCTTTAAAAGCTTTCGGCATGCATTTCCTTCAAAAATTTCACCCTGATAGTTTTTTGATATAAGTCCTAGTTTTTTTGGCCAATTAAGGGCTTCTTCTCTTCCCACGAGTGGTACTACTCCATCCCAAAATAGGTGATTTACAAAGCCTTGCATAATATGCAATTCTGGTACAATACATTTTTGAATAATAAAGGTCTTACCTTCTTCCTCAAACATATGTACATTTAGGGTGCTAAAACATTCTTTAGCGAGTTTTTTATTTTTGCCTAGAGAATAAAATTTATCGAAATACTTGGTAAGGTCTCCATAAGTTCTTAAACACATCGTTTGAGCTTCATAGGTGAGATCTTCAACATTTGTGGGTTTATCTTAAAACCTTAGTTCGTGTAGTGATACATAACAATAAGGACACGGGTACGTTGCAGTTGCTGTCTGAAATCCATTGACGAGGAGGGTCACCTTTAGGTCCGAAACAAACTTGAAGGAAATTTTGTTTATTTGTGTAAGATCAAATAGAAATTTAATATTGTCGTAACTTTCTTTTATTTGAGGGACCATGCATAAAATTATTAATCTTTGTACTCCACTTAGTTTACCTCTTTTTCCTACTCTTCTTCCTTCTGCATATGTAGATCGTTTACCTTGATCCATTGTATTTAGTTCGTCTTATACTATTTCTTGGTTTCCAGCTAAACCTTTATTTAACACAGAGGAGTAATTTTCCGGTAAAATCGTCAAAAAAATTTTTAAAAAACCTTACCCTCCATCAGCCATAACTTTAATTTCAGGTTTTCCAATATAGTTCCTTTTTTCAATAACAGCCTTAACCATTTCTTCAGCATCTGCCCACACTATAGCCCGATTTTGTTTTTCCCTCTTTTTATTGATGTCAAATTCGTATAAACCCTGTTTATAAAAACTGCTTAACATTTTTGAATTTTCACTTGCATGAAGACGATATTTAGCCGGAACTGCATTTTTTCCTGCGCATGACCTAATAAAGTTTGTTAAGGTTTCCATTTGGTTTAAAGAAGAACTTGTGTTTGATTGGAAATTGTCTAAATTATTTTCAGAAAAAAATGCGTCTTTAGCACAGGTCTGTGGTCTTTAGCCATTTTCGGATTAATAACAATCCTAGCAATTGAACCGCATGTGGATAATTTTATTTCTGCGTTTTGGTACCTGCTGCTGCTTGTAGATGTTCCACAATTGGCTGCTTGATCATTAATGCAGGATTTCAACGAAGACACTACAACATGCTCCTTTTGTTTTTTTGGGAGTTTTTCTACAATGTCCTTAACATTTCGATGAGCATACGTTTTAGAACATTTGTGCCTAATTCCTTTTCCGGTTTTTTGAAAGCAAATTTGACTATTGGCTCGGATTTTTGCTTTTGATTTGTTACCTCATGGCCCATGGTTCCTACTTTTACTACTGAAGAACTTTTGTGGCCTTTATGTCTAGCCGTTTGACACAGAAAACAATTGCATATTCGGGTGGTGTTTCTAGTTTTAGCATGCAAGACTATTTTGTCAAATTGAGGAGTCACGGGGAAATTTCTCTTGAACACATCTTTTTCTCTATCAAAGAGAACAAGGCGACAATTTCCACAAATAGATGTGGGATATCTTAAGTCGCTTTTATCAAATTTATGCGCATGCGAATACTTACAAATAAGCTTGTGCAATTTTTCTGTCAAGTTAAACACTGACGCTTTGGACTTCCCAAATACGATTTTAGAACCACACAATATACACACTTTTCGTCGATTTTCTTCATGGTCCGCTTCTTTCGGCATTATCAATTTAAATTTTAATACTTAGTCTTTGTATATGATTTTTTCTTGCTGGAGTTTTAAATGACGGTTTCGAATATTCAAGATGTCATTTTGACACTAGCCTACTTTATTGTATTGTCACTTTCCACCTTTTTTTACAGTTATTCTTAACCAGTGACAAAAACTTGAATTTTGGTAAAACAGTAAAAAAAATGCCAACAGATTGTTTTCCGATCAGCTTTGATTTAACCAACACTAGTTTTGGTTCCGCCAGATAGTCCATAAAAGGAATATATATAGGGTTTTCGTTGACATTTTTGAAATACCTAGTTTTTGCTAAGGGACACTGTGTTGGACATCAAATAACATAAATTGTTAAATATTTTAATTTCTTTTAATTTAAGATAAATTGCTGTTTTAGGTAATTTTTTTTATTTTGTTTTTGTAAATATCATATAATTCATATATTTCTTTCTCGGATTCCTCATCCTTTTTCTAGATTCTAAAGGTAACTACTAATTCCTTGGTCTGACTTCTCAAATAGTTTGTTGCAAATATCATTAAGTGTGGTATCTCTAGTTTGTGAAGCATTTATAATGTTTAGACCGGAACAGGATGATTTAAATATCTAATATTTTTTCGGGTGGTATGTTAAAAGTATTTTCCGAATTTATTAATTTTGTTGCCATTAGCTTTTTATGTTCTCTATCATGCACTGTTATTCTGCAAGATGTCCTGTGACGAAGAAATCACTATATTAATTACTCTCTAAAAATGAATTAGTAAAAAATATCATAGCGAAAAAGCAGCCATTAATTCTCGTCAACAGCAATTTGCATCCAGGACATTTAGCAGTCAATTCCTATGAAATAATATTTGCTGAATCCGAAAATGTCGTCAAGTTATAAAAGTAGAACAGTTTTTGAAATATAATCAATTTTACATATAATATGGAATTGACTATATCCCAAAAACTGCTTAACTTTTATAGTTTTTGACGGTCTTTTCGGATTCAGGGGACAATTTTACATAAGAATTGGCTGGTAAGTGTCCGGGATATAATTTAAGTATGATATTGGACGTATGTCCAATAATAGAAATTTACATTTTTTACCAACCAGTAATTGGACACTGGCCATTGTACTGTTTGTTTTCAGAATTAAAATTAAAACGCATTAAAGTGACAATGTTTAAACCATGAGGAACACATTTATACCAGACACTGATCTGTACACTTTTTAGAAATATTTTTTATTGTAATTTTAACACAGCCCTGCTCTTAACAAAAAAACAAGAATTTTACCACCAAAGTAACGTGCGAACTTTTTTGTCCTATATTGGACCCAAAATAAAGTAGTTCTATATTATTACCGACTGAGATAGTTATAATTGTATACAGCGTCATCTAATGATTCGACTTTAAGGTAACTATTTATAGAACTCTTGTTTTTACAGTATTAATGTTAGTTGTCCAATAACTATAAAGTTCACATTCAAAAAATACCCGGAAAAAAGTCAATAGGTGTTAAATCGCAACATATCGGCGGCCAATTGCGCCGATTTGATAATTTTTCAAATCTTCCTCTTTTTTTCAAATTTTTCCAACAAATATAATTTTTAGGTCCCCATAAGTCATTGCGATTTACTAAGAGAGGGCGCTCCAGTGCCGCCAGAGCCCCCTATCGGTCGTTGGAAGCCTGAGTTACATGTAAGTTTATACAGGGTCATTAAAAAAAATAAAAAAGCCAAATAATTAAAATAATCAAAAAAGTATTATTTTATTTGGAAATAATTTCAGAAGAACCCCATGCGCACGCCCCTGGTAATTTTAATCTTAAATATTTATATAATACAGGGTGTTATGTAATCTAAATTCTAAAGACTAAAAATAATTCATAATAACCTTTATCCCACCAAAAAGTACGCCACTGATCGACTAGGAACTTTAGGCTAATCTGGTTGCCTAATTTAATTTATTATGTTATGGTTGGTAACAACCAGCGTTTCCAGATTCTGTCAAAAAAGTTGCCAGATTTTGTTTAAATTTAGCTTAATCACAAAAATGACAAAATCAACAATGCAATTTGTTAATTTGGCGTTTTTATTAATTGTTTATTATGTCGTTTTGCAATGAAGGTAAATAAAAACAAAATCTGGCAACTTTTATGACAGAATCTAGTGCATTTCTTTAAATTTTAGGTTATGTGCTCAAATTGAAAATATCTTAACTAAGGGAAGTGCTTTTGGATTTATTTACACAAATTGAATGTTTAAAGTTTTACCTGTGAACTTGTGGTAATTTCATCTGAGTAAACAGAAAGAAAAAAACGATGAAAAAATTAATTTTGTAACCATGGTTATGGAGGTTTTAAAATTTTATAATCATTGCTTAAGCTAATAGCTGGATGAGTAAATAAGTACAGAAGGGTATTAGAGCTTTAAGGGCATCAAACTTTTGTATTTATTGAGTTTTTATTTTTTTTTTCAAGAAAACATTTTTTACAACTGGCAACGCGCAGCTACTTTGTTGGTTGGCGTTTCACAAAAAATATAAAAAAAACTTCCAATGCATAATTTTGGTCAAAAGGTATTCAGTATTTTAATATATTACATTTATTACATAACACCCTGTATATTAACAATTAATAGTTGCAAAATAATTTTACTGACAAGTTTTTTGTAAAAGCAGTACAGTTTTTTTATCTGGACTATTGTTTTTTGTTAGGTTGGTGGCTTATGCCAGTTTGACTTTGTATTTTTAGTATTAAAAAATGGTACTTCTGCTAAAGAATTTAATGAAATACTTTGACACTGTCAAATTGACAATAATATTTATTATTGATAATTTACTTGTCAATTATAAATAAAAAGATAATTATGCCAAAAATAATAGCAACAAATTCGAATGTAAAAGTCCTTTTGAGGGCAAAACTTCATTTTGATGAAATTATGCCAAATGACACAATAGAAGAAAAAGTACATCGCCTTATGGACATTTTTGGAGTAAAAAGTAACGAATTTGGTTTTATAAATATTGCATCACACATTATTTTCACATTATTCACCATTGGACAACATTTACGTTCACAAAAAATTTTAATTTCTTTTATATAAATTCTTTTCAAAGCGAAGATTATTATCCGCTAGGAATACTTTCTCTTCTGGGCCGTAAAGCAACCTATATTTAAATTACTTTTTTATATGATTTTACTCATCCAAGCACCACCAAAGCCAAATTAATTGCATTTTTAACTACGAATTTCGACAACTCAACTTGACAACTAACCTACAATAATTTATACATAACCACAATTAGATTTGTAACTAGCTTAGTTTGTTTTAATCAATGCAACCAACTTGACAACTGTATTTACCAACCAAAACCCTAAATTTGCAACGTTGCCGCAGTCCAGATAAAAAAATAACTTTACCTTAAAAGTACTACAAATTTTGTAGTATTATTTTGAATTATTTCTAAAATTTCAGCAGTATTATCAGGATGGTTCAAGGATAGAGGCAGCTTTCAGAAAATATTTTCACAGGGCAAATGTCAGTCAAGAAAAAGATTCCTTCACCCTATTAGTCTGCCATGCCAATGTTATAAGATATTTTGCCTGTAGGTAAGTAACAAACACCCTGTAAATTTTGGGTGGTGGGAATTGTGCTAATTAGCTTCAAAATTCAGATTTCCTAATTGTATTTTTTTTGCTTATAGGGCACTTCAATTTCCAGCTGAAGGCTGGCTAAGAATTTCCTTAAACCATGCTAGTATCACATGGATTACTATTACTCCTTCTGGTAGGTGCATTTTAAGGGCACTAGGAGATAGTGGACATATTCCTCCTCAATGTATTAGTTCCTAATAAATTTTCATGTAATTTTAACAAAAAATTGTTTTATTATACCTCTATTAGGTATCAACTGTCTTATGTAAAATTGTCCCCTGAATCCGAAAAGACCGTCAAAAACTATAAACGTTCAGCAGTTTTTGAGATATAGTCAATTCCATATTATATGTAAAATTGATTATATTTCAAAAACTGTTCTACTTTTATAAGTTTTGACGACATTTTCGGATTATTATTATTAGTGGCTGCTTTTTCGCTGTGACATTTTTGATTAATTCATTTTTAGAAAGTAAGTAATATAGTGATTTCTTCGTCACAGGACATCTTGCAGAATAATAGTGATTTAAATAGAGTGCATGATAGAGAACATAAAAAACTAATGGCAACAAAATTAATAAATTCGGAAAATACTTTTAACATACCTCCCAAAAAATATTAGATATATATAAATCATCCTGTTCCGGCCTAAACATTATAAATGCTTCTTTTAAGAATATATCGAACCCTTATTTTATTTAGGTAGGTATATGGAGACAGGTAAAAAATTGAGCTCGCGGCTGTCTGAAGGGAAGTAAAAAACGAAAGGAAGGTGTTTTTAAAGAAAGCACATGTAAATTTAAATGAAAAAATTCGAAGGTTGTGAGAATTATTTTTTTATTATTTGGAAATTGAAATTTATAGTAATTGGACAGTTAACATTAATACTGTAAAAACAAGAGTTCTATACAATTATAACTATCTCAGTCGGTAATAATATAGAACTATTTTATTTTGGGTCCAATATAGGACAAAAAAGTTCGCACGTTACTTTGGTGGTAAGATTTTTGTTTTTTTGTTAAGAGCAGAGTTGTGTTTAATTTATAACAAAAAATATTTCTAAAAAGTGAACAGATCAGTGTGTGGTATAAATGTGTTCCTCAAGGTTTAAACATTGTCACTTTAATGCGTTTTAATTTTCATTCTGAAAACAAACAGTAAAATTGCCAGTGTCCAATTACTGGTTGGTAAAAAATGTAAATTTCTATTATTGGACATATGTCCAATATCATACTCTATTTGTATCCCGGACATTTACCAGCCTATTCTTATGTAAAATTGTCCCCTGAATCCGAAAAGACCGCCAAAAACTATAAAAGTTAAGCAGTTTTTGAGATATAGTCAATTCCATATTATATGTAAAATTGATTATATTTCAAAAACTGTTCTACTTTTATAACTCTTGACGACATTCGGATTCAGCGAATAATATTTCATAGGAATTGACTGCTAAATGTCCTGGATACAAATTGCTGTTGACGAGAATTATTAGTGGCTGCTTTTTGGCTATGACATTTTTGACTAATTCATTTTTAGAGAGTAAGTAATATAGTGATTTCTTCGTCACAGGACATCTTGCAGAATAACATGATTTAAATACAGTGCATGACAGAGAACATACAAAACTAATGGCAACAAATTTAATACATTCGGAAAATACTTATATAAGTATATATATATAAGTATATATAAATTTTAAATAAGTAAATAATATTCCTTATGTGTATTTTTTGTGTTCTAAATTAGGGCCTTTATACATAAAAATACATATAACTATTGCAATTATTATTTTTAGAATATAAGACGAAATTAGTTTTAAACCATAGATCTATATGGTCTGACAGATAGATAACCTCAATTATTTGTAATCAAATGTCAAAGTTGCACTTTTTGATGTGGAGGTCCTTTGTATTTTACAGGTAATATGAATCAATAAGTGAGTCCTGCAGAATTAAACGACATTTTCTCTACAATATTAACATACTTAGATAATATTAAAAGTAATAATTGCTTAGTACGGCAGAGGATTTGTCTAATTTTACATTATGTATTCCACTGCTAAAATTAAGCAAAAAAGTGCTTACCTTTATCATCTTGAAGCAATTTAACAATATAATATATAAACAAATACACACAATATGAACACTATGAGAAATGTTAATTTTTAAATAAAACATGTCTGCCAAAACAAAACACGAACGATCATGCTGACAACTTAAAGAAAATTTAAAACGTACTTATTTGAATGAAAAAAAAAACTAATTTAAAGTATTTTATGATTATTTTTGTATCCCCCAATTTATTTATATAACGTTAATTCAATAAAATGTTCTTTAAAACAACAAAATTCAATTTACAAGAACTAGAGTTTGGAATTTCAAAGTTGCCGCCATCTTGACCTTGAAAACCGAAGCCACCTCGTATTTTTTCGTTTTGTAATTTGTGTTTGTTTATATTTTTATTATTTTGTTGATTTCAGCGTTTTTGTTGAGTTATTTCGTTGCATTTTTTATTTTTAACGCTACTTTGACAATCCGCGATATAAAACAGCAGAGAATCGGCGAGGTGAGTTGATTATAACCTACAAAAGTATTTTTTATGATGTGATTATGATTTTTTTAGATTATGCCGAGAGCTGTAAGGAAGAGAATGCCCGAAAATGAGGTTCAAATAACCCCGTCGAACAACAAAACCCCGAAGATAATAACGGAAAAACCTGCAAACAGACCTTTGGTAACAGCGGAGGGAAAAATTTTGTACCAGTGTCATTTTTGCGCCAAAATGTTCGCTATTGAGATTGTACGGGATAATCATTCGGATATTTGTCCCAAAAGGGGTGATATTATAAGCGAGGTTGATAATAATAATGCTCCGGCTAAAAAAATAAGGCTTGTTAAACAAAAAGAGAATAAAACTCCACCAAAGTTAAACGATGAGGTTGTTTCAAAGGATGTGAGTCCTGCTAATGATGGTTATGTTTTAAATCAAGAAAATCATGTATCGACCAACAATAAAATTATTATTAATAACTCTATTACGGTTAAACCACTTGGAACATCAGAGGACATTCCAAGTAAAGTTATAGTCGATGATGTTGACAAATCACTAAAATGTCGTATGTGTGCACAAGTTTTCTTGAATCCGTTTGAGAAATTGAAGCACACTCGTGAAACTCACAAAATAATTAAAATTACAGTCCCTTACGATGAAGTAGCAAAATATTTTGATAACGAGGACAAAGATAACTGCCCCATATGCGCAAAGCATATAAAATCGAGAAATTTTAAATCTGTATTCGTTAAACACCTGCTAACTCACACTCAAGGTACCATATACCCATGTCCCATTTGTTACCGAAGATTTCGAAGGAAGGATCATATGAAGAACCATGAACGCAGACATGCCGAAAACGGTGAAGAAATAACCGATTCTGACCAAGACGGAAAATAAAAAAAACCAATTTGACTGAAATTAGTATTTTTAAGTTTATTATTTAATGTTCAATTAAAAAAAAATTGCGATATCTAAAAAAGTATTAATCATACGTAAAAATATTTTTTAACAAAAATATTCAGCATTTAATTCTCTACAAAATATTTTTGACAAGTTTTCTCGAAAAATTGACAGAATTCGCGATATTTTACGAAATCTGTTTTATTGACATTTCGTCACCTGAGAATTATAGTGTTCTATCTGCATTTTCTTTTTTTTATTCAGGTTAGTCTTGTTTTAAGTATTAAAGATGCATATTGTTCTATCTATATATAATTGGGGTAGAAATTGTACAGTTTAAGCCTTAAACTTTACAATTTCTACCCCAATTATATATAGATAGATCAATATCATCTTTGAAAACTTAAAACAAGACTAACCTGAATAAAAAAAAGAAAATGTAGATAGAACACTATAATTCTCAGGTGACGATTTGTCAAAATCACTTTTTATAAAATATAACGATTTCTGTCATTTTTTCGAAAAAACTTCATTTAACATTTTTATAGAGAACAAATTTCTCTACAAATTTTCTTATAACAAGTTTTGTTGAAAAATTGTTAGGAATGGAAATATTTTGACACGACAAAAAACAATTTTTGTTATAAATAACGGTTTCTGTAATTTTTTTAGGAAACCAATTTTTATAGAGAATAAAATTCCCCACATTTTTTATTTTAAGTTTTCTGTTGTCAGATTAATATCTTTGGCGATATCGACAATTTTGTATAAAACTCACATATAGGTGCTCTTTTTTTCATTTTAATGCCATATTTTTAGGATTGTAATGTTACATTTATCAAAAATCGCGTTGTATTACCTATTTCTATTATATTTGAACATTTACTTTATTACAAATTACTTTTTAAAACTTATATATCGACAAAATATGTTAAATTTAATAAAACTATTTTTAATTATGTAAAGTTTGTTATTTTACGTTAAAATCACGGTAATAATAATTTAAATCTAGTTGCCATGTTTTTAATCTGACCAATCACAAGTTTTATTTAATTTAAATATGACATTTAATAAAAAACATTTCTTTAAAAGAATATATTAAATAATAAAAAAGATTTTTGCAAAATACACAAAAATAAATATTTTAGGTATACAAATTTTACCCGTACATTTTTTGCTGTCTTAACGCCAAAGTATTTCTATATTCAGGTCTTTTGATTCTTTGTTTAAAACAATCGTTGAAAAGTTGAACATCCCTTTCTGTCAAACGAAATTCAAAATTCGCGTTGTTGCCGAGATGCACCTGCTTGGCTGTCAAATCTCTTGGTTTCAAATCTGTCAAGCTTTCCAAAGGTCCCCTTTTATTCATCGTTGTGTTTTTTTGCCAGTTTTCCATGGGTTTATCGCAAATAATACACCTTAAAATTTATTAAAATCAGTTTGTAGTATTTTTATTTAAATAGTATGATAGAAATAAATAACAGTAGGCCCTGTAGGGAAATTCAGCGGTGCCAATGTAGTAAAAATTAAACGTTGTATTTTAATTAACGAATTACTACTATTATTAGAAGTTTAGGTATTATTAAAAACTTAAAATAACATAAAAGTAAATAAGCACCAATATAAATTGTTAATTTGTTGTTATAACGGCTAAATTAGGGTTTAAAACTGTCATATTTTTGTGTTGCTTAAGTTGGCAGCACGAAATTTGAAATGTCAATTTTAAAGTGCTAAATAATGGTTTTAAAAAATTATTGTCTTGAAATTTGTGCTGTAAATATGCATTTTACAAAGCAGAGAAACTCAAAACTGAAAAAATTGTGCTGTAGATTTCCCGTGATAGGCGGTTCTTTATGGTAACGTAATCTTTTCATTCCTTTTGACATGAAGATCAAATTAAACGAATCGTGATTGGTCGGTAAAAAAATCAAGTGTGCTAAATCTATACGGCACGTTTTTGTACGTACCTATTAAATCCAAAATTGTCAGCATCCAATGGTATAGCAGCTAGTCGCTCGTCTAGACTAAATCTGTATATACATTTATGGGGTTTTGCTTTGTTTTTTTCATCGGAAGGGGTTTGGTGGGTTTCGAAAAAATGCTTTTCGCGAAAATCTTTCATCTTTTTAAGCTTTTCTTCTGAGGAGGTTAAAAGAGAATTATAGTGTTTTGTTGATGGTTTTGTGGTTATTGTGTTTGATGGTTTTGTGCTTTCTGGGAGTGAATATGAGGATTTGAGGGTTTCATTTTCTTCTTCTTCTTCTTCTGGTAGAAAAGTGTATGTGTCTGTAGAATGAATGGTTTTTGGAGTATTTGCTGTATATTCCGTACATAGGGAATAGTTTGATGGCCTATATAGAGTTGTAAGGCTAATTTTATTTTTGTTTTCAATATCTTCTTTTTTTACATTTTTTTTGATGTTGAAATACTTCCTGTATAGTTCCTCGGCCTGATTATGAAAATAACAAGCGCAATTCAAATTTTTGTCATGGACATAATCCTCATACATCAACCTCTGGGGCGTAAAACTTTCATTTAAACATTTATGCTTATTTTTCTGTCGCTCTTCCTTAAAATCTTCGTAAGTTTTCTTTGCATCGTCATTTTTACTGAGTTTCGACTTGGATCTGTAGAGACTAGAAGAACTATCAGAACATATTTTTGATTTCGCGGTCTTAAACAACTTGGGTCTTATTTTCTTCTCTTTGCAATAACATTTATTTTTATAACACTCCCCGTGTTTTTTTGCAACCTTTTTACTCACTAAAATTTCGGGGTGTAGCACACTACATACATTATTTGAATTATTCCTTTTAGACCAGCTTTTGTCGATATTTTGTGTGTAGCTAAAATATGAAACGTTACCTGCAAAATTAAGTTTTCATAAAAAATCTTACCTGTTTGTCAAGCTAATTTCCACATCATTTTTCGTCCTAAGGGTTTTCCTCATTTTACGTTTCTTATACAAAAATTTTGATGTTTCGTGCAGTCAAATTTGTCACAGGTTAGCTTGTTGTTTGTTTGTGTCAAAGGGTTGCTATGGATAAAGCCACTTGTTGATTGGAACCCTAGTTTGGTTTAGGATTGGAACTGAGGAAAAGGCGAAAAACGTTTGGTATCAGAAATCATGTTGGAAAATTAGGGTCAATCTAAAGTTAAAGTTAAATTTAAAAATAATTTAAAAAACTTTTTTAAATATTTATTTAAATAGTTTATTGTTTATCATTAATAAATATTTTAAATATTTATAAAACGGTGTTACATGAATTCCGAAAATTGATAACAATGGTGAAATTCCATGAATAAATTGTTCATATTTTTTTATGAACCAAAAAATCCGATAAAAACATTTATCACATATAAAACCGGAAATATACAAATACGTATTGGTCGTTTAGCAGTTTAGTAATTATTTTTGTGGGTTTTTTTGTATTCTCGATCTTCCATGATAGCACAGTTTATTCTAAGAATGTTTTTTAAACCTTCCAGTGGGAATATTCTTAGGATCATGCTATATTTCTTCTAAAGAACATGCTTAAAAGAAATATAGCATAATCCTAAGGCCTATATAGGCAGGTTCTTAGAAGGTGCAAAGTTTAGTGGTAAAAATTAATTCACTCTAAACATATGGTTAGAATGTTGAGAAAGTAATTGCTATAGAAAGTTCATTTAGGAATATTACTGGAACATTCTGTTAAGCATATTCAGTTCAGTTAGGTACCTATACACAGAGAAAAAAGATGTTTTAATTCAAACAAGAATGTTTGTTTAATTTTATTTATTACATTTAAAAAAATATAAATTTAATTCAAAAACATTTCTTTAAAAAGAATAATTGTCTTTATTTAAAAGGAAAAAGCAAATTTATTAAAATATATATTTAAAACAAAGTACCTGACTTTTATTTCAAAATTGCACTTATTCTGTTTAAATAAAAGTTGACTTTCTTAAATTATAAAAACAATTTACTTGTTTTAAAAAATTAAAAAGTTTAAATTAAACAACAAATATTATTTTTTTAAAAACATGGTTTAATTTTAAAGTATAATTTTGATTTAATTCAAAAAAATTAATTATTTAAAATAAACAAATTATTATTTAAATACAAAAAAATTGTAATTTGATTTAAAGCAGAGGTTTATTTAAACTTTTTTGCTCACGTCGAAGTAGCATGACTTGCATCCTATTGGTTGCTGTAAATCAGGCGACTGCAGGCACCCAATGGGCTTTCCATTTTGTATGTACGTGATTTTAGAGACTCCAATTTAGAGCAGGGTGTTGATGAGAAGTGGTGTGTGGCATTATAATAAAATAATAAATAATTTTATATTATTTTATACTATGGAGGACCTTTTAAAGGAATGGGGTCTTGAGAAATTTATTCCTGTTTTTAAAGGTAAGTAATTTAAATAATTACTTATCATTATTATTTGCAGACCCTGGTGGATTTATGCAGCACACATTAACATTAAGTTAAAATTAACATAAGTATTTTTTAAGTTAGTGAAGTATTTGTATATTTTAGGGTTTCGTATATGTATTTATAAGACTTTTATGCAATAAAGATTAGTGTTTATTCATAAAAAAATTAATTTATTTTTACTCCCCAATATACCAATATATATTAATTACTAGATTAGATGAAAAAAAAAAACATTATTAATTAAAAAAATATATCTTTTAATCTGAATAAATAATTTTTATTAATTCAAATATAATAATTATTTAATTTAAATAAATAAATCTAAATTAAATTAATTAATTCCTTTTAAATTTAAATTAAAATTTAATAATTTAAAAAAAAATATCTCTTAATCCAAATAAATTGTTTTTAACACAAATATTATAGGTATTTAAGTTAAATAAATTAATTTTAAATGAAATAAATTATCTGTTTTACGTAAATAAAAACATTTCTTTAATTTAAAAAAATACATGTGTTTTACTTGGTTTTATTTCATACAAACTAATAATATTTGTTTGCGTTGAATAAATTAATTTTAAATTAAATAAATTAAAACAAATAAATATTTTTTTACATTCAAAAGAACATTTATTTGGGTATATCGAAATAAATAATTTATTTGATATAAATAAAATTTATTTAATTCAAATAATCTTTTTTCTCTGTGTATAATAGTAAAATATACATACCATAATCTACGTATAAAGGTACCTATACTTAGTATTAAATACTAAGTAAAAAACACAACCCAAAATATTTTTTATAAAGGGTGTCCAATTAGGTACGCTCGATGTTTGATAGGCGGCTATGGCTAAGTCAGTACAGACACAGCTGTCAAATATTTTGAATTTTTGTTGGCATATTATGACATTTGATAATGGAGCGTTACACGGTTGCTCAACGCATTCAAATTATTCAAATTTACCAACAAATTCAATGTTTAATTCGCCAAACGTTTCAACGGCGTCATTTCACGCGTCGGCGATATCCAGTGGCCAACGAGATCATGCGATCTAACGCCGCTGGACTTTTTTGTGGGGCTACGTAAAGTCCCTTGTGTACGTAAATAAGCCACGAACAATTGAAGCACTGAAGGCCAACATTACTTAGATAATAAATGAAATCGAACCCGAAATGTGCGAAAAAGTGATAGAAAATTTGACCTGCAGAATGCGCGCTGTGGAGCGCAGCCGCGGGGGCATTTGAAAGATGTTATTTTTCATAATTAATGCCATAGGATGTTCTTTTAAATAAATATATTTTTTTCCTAATATCTTAAGTGTAGTTTGTTTTATTTCATTTTAAAGTTAGAGCACTCTTAAGTGGACACCCTTTAGTTATTTGTCAAATTAAAACAATATTCGATAACAAAAATACTTTTACTATATAAATTATCCGGCTTTTACATAAAACCTTCTATCCAACTTAAATACAATGAAAAATGTTTTTTTTATGAAGAACTATTTGGTTTTTTCTTTTATGAAGAATTATTTTATAAGGAAATATTTTTTTTTATATTATATTTTATGTTAAAAATAAATATTTATTAATTTGTATACCGATTTTTTATTTCTAAATTAACATTTTCATGTATATTATACATTATACATACATTGTATAATAATCCTAACTATCTTCAACTTCAATCTAATCTGACTTATCCCACAAAATTTTTAAATTTTACTTTTTATGAAATAATGTCATACAAGTTATGGTTTAGGGGTCAAATTGTTTATTTAATATTTTTAAATAAATATATATTACTATGTCGCAAAATTTAAGGGGACGACAAATACATTTCACCAGTGGCGGCTGGTGGATTTTGGCACACCCATATCTCAGTTATTAGACATGGGACCCACATCAAATTTATATGAGTTTATAATGACATTATATAGACAAGTTCTGCGCAAGCAGAATTTAAATTAAAGTTTGCGAAAAAAAGTTAGTTTTTAAGTGCAACCCCCAGCCTCCTGCCCCTCCAAATTAAGATAATTCAAATTAAAGTGTTACAATATTTAATTCACTGAAGTTTATCGACAAATTTTAAATTTTATTAAAAAAATTCAAGTATTACAGATTTTATACCATTTCAAATTTTTTTAAATGTAGTAAAAGAAATAATAAAAATTATAAATGGTATATAACCTGTAATACTTGAATTTTTTAAATAATCTATTGAATGTTTTAAAACTCCCTAAGAACATTCTTAGCAATAAGGGAGGGTTCTAAGAATATTCCATTATTCCGGGTCAAATCTTCTTAGAAGATTCTTAAAATCAAATTTTGCCATCAGGGTAGTTCCTTAATATACTATTTTACGACGTACCTATAACTCGCTATTGCACATAGTAAACTGATTCTTTTTCCATGCTGATCAAAAAAAGAACCATTTTTCGATGTCAAATTTAGTTTGTGAGATATCGTAAAAAAGGAGAATTTGTAATTTTTATTATTTAAACATTATTTATATATTATATATACTAGGGTGTGCCAAAAAAACTCGATATTTTTTTTTCTTGCTCTCCACCCAAAATATCGTAGAGTATGTCCAAACAAATATTCTGTTAAAAGCGGAGCTCATAATTTCAATTTTAAGAGGTCCCTCATCGAATCTGAAGTTTTGCCGCTTAAATAACACAGAAAACTGACTTTTTTACCTTATTTATTCTTGCAACCTAGGAAGAATTTTTTTTTTCATAAAATCCATGACTAATTCTTACAAAGCATTAAATTTGGACACAAAAATCTTATTAAGCCGAATTTCTATTTTCATTATTTGATTTTTTCCAGAGCTTTAAATTTAAAGTTAATAATACAAAAATGATGACTTTATACGCCTGTAACTTTTAGAATATTGACGATACAAAAAATTCGCCTAAAACTTTTTTGTGGTCCATCAGACAAGCTAAAAAATTGCCATTTAACTTTTTCGTCTAACTTCAATAATTTAGCTGAAAAAGGCAAAAAACGTAAAATTTTAAATTTAAAGCTCTGTAAAAAATCAAATAATGAAAATAGAATTTCGGCTTAATAAGTTTTTTTCGTCCAAATTTAATGCTTTGTAAGATTTGGTCATGGATTTTATGAAAAAAAAATTTCTTCCTAGGTTGCAAGAATAAATAAGCGGCAAAACTTTAGATTCGATGAGGGACCTCTTAAAATTGAAATTATGAGCTCCGCTTTTAAAAGAATATTTGTTCGGACATATTCTACGATATTTTGGATGGAGAGCAAGAAAAAAAAAATATCGAGTTTTTTTGGCACACCCTAATATATACGTATTTGAGATTACCTATTGTAAACCGTTTACATCCGGGAGATAATAAAGTTTGTCTTTTATCTTGCTTCTATTTTAACAGTGTCCCAGCTGTAAATACCACCACTTTGTATATTATATTGCCAGTGCGTCTGTGGGAAACGATGCTTAAAAATCTTAGCATCTGCTGAAAGAGTTTAGTTAAATTTAGAACTACAATTACCTTGTGTTTACATCTACATCAAATCTTTAGTTGACTCAATCTAACTGGAACTGATTATATTAATTTTTTTGAAGGTGAGTACCAAAATTATTATTTTCATAATTAAAAAATTAATATCGCCAAATACATTACTATTAAGTACATTATTATTTAACGGAAAATAATGTTAGTAGGTATAAGTTACGGATGAAATTATTTATAAAATTATTGCACCTTCAAAATTTGTAAATATTATGATTTTGAAAATTTCCTATGAATGTTTGGAATAATTTGTTTATTTTTTTTAACCAAAGTATACAGTTTTAATTGGAGTTTAAGGTAACTTAATTAAAACCAAACATCTATTTTCAACACTTGTATACTAAGTGTACAAAAAAACATATATCATATCATATAAAAAAGTAGTTAAATATAGGACCAAGAGAGACCAAGTATTCCTAGCGGATAATAATCAAAATTTAATTTTAATAATCTTCTAAGAAGATATGACCCGGAATAATGGAATATTCTTAGAACCTTCCCTTATTGCTAAGAATGTTCTTAGGGACTTTTAAAACATTCAATAGATACCCTTTTATAATGATGCAATTAGATTCTTAAAAGCTTCTTAAAACCTTCCTAAAAAGCATCCTAAGAACATTTTAAGAATACGTTTTTGGAATGTTCTTAGAAGGTTTCTTATGGAGCTTCTAGGAAGCTTTTGAGAATATTTCCAAATATGTCGGATACCCTCGTTCTAATATGTTGTATTCTACATTCGTAAAATTCTTCAGGAGGCGACAAATACGCCTTACTGTCATAATATGACAGTGAAATGTATTTGTCGTCCCCTTAAAAAATTTTGCGACATATTAATATATATTTATTTAAAAATATTAAATAAACAATTTGACCTCTAAACCATAAGTTGTATGACATTATTTCATAAAAAGTAAAATTGGAAAATTTTGTGGGATAAGTCAGATTAGATTGAAGTTGAAGATAGTTGGGATTATTATACATAAAAATGTTAATTCAGAAATAAAAAATCGGTATACAAATTAATAAATATTTATTTTTAACATAAAATAAAATACCTATAGTAAAAGTATTTTTGTTATCGAATATTGTTTTAATTTGACAAATAACTATAAAAAATATTTTGGATAGTGTTTTTTACTTAGTATTTAATACTATATACTAATTAGGTACTTAAGTATAGGTATATTTTACTATTATATAGGTAACTGAACCAAATATGCTTAACATTCTATCTAGCATATATTTAGAGTAGACTAATTTTTACCACTAAAACTTTGCACCTTCTAAGAACCTGCCTAAAGGCCAGTAAGAATATTCTTAGGATTATGCTATATGGTCTTTTAAGCATGTTCTTTAAAAGAAATATATCATGATCCTAAGAATATTCTCACTGGAAGGTTTAAAAAACATTCTTAGAATAAAGTGTGCTATCAGGGATAATGACAGAGAAGTAGAACACCCTGTATAAACCTTCTCTAAATAGAATCTTAGCGTGTAACACTGAAAATAATACGAATGGATTAATTTTAGCATAATGTGTGTAAGGTTTTAAATGAAAAGTTTGTTTTTGTAGAGTTTTTGACAGAATAGTCAAACAAAAAATTAATAATATTAATATGATTTAAAACATTCTTCGGCATAATTCATATGTGCAAAATAAACATACACTTACATAAAACACATTGATGTGGTGTTAAAAGCAGTGGAAATAATATTTTTAAGTTTTTCGTTAATATTGTGTTTATTTTCTATTAAAATTAATGAGTCTGAATCTAAAACGTACTGAGTCAGGTGGATGGGATTTTTCATTTGAGTACAGTAAGTAAAAAACATTTTTTTGTTATATTAAATTTAAAATTTTATAAAATATTTTTGAAACAAAAAAGTTATTATTTTTGAGAACTTTTTAGTTTTATCGTAAAATTATTTTAATTTTTCCCTGATAGCACACTTTATTCTAAGAATGTTTTATGCTTAAGTACCTAATTAGTAATTAGTATTACCTAAATACTAAGTAAAAAACACAATCCAAAATATTTTTTTATAGTTATTTGTCAAATTAAAACAATATTCGATAACAAAAATACTTTTACTATAGGTATTTTATTTTATATTAAAAATAAATATTTATTAATTTGTGTACCGATTTTTTATTTCTGAATTAACATTTTAATGTATAATAATCCTAACTATCTTCTTCAACTTCAATCTAATCTGACTTATCCCAAAAAAATTTCCAATTTTACTTTTTATGAAATACATACAACTTACGGTTTAGAGGTCAAATTATTTATTTAATATTTTAAATAAATATATATTAATATTATATAGTTATTTGTCAAATTAAAACAATATTCGATAACAAAAATACTTTTACTATAGGTATTTTATTTTATATTAAAAATAAATATTTATTAATTTGTGTACCGATTTTTTATTTCTGAATTAACATTTTAATGTATAATAATCCTAACTATCTTCTTCAACTTCAATCTAATCTGACTTATCCCAAAAAAATTTCCAATTTTACTTTTTATGAAATACATACAACTTACGGTTTAGAGGTCAAATTATTTATTTAATATTTTAAATAAATATATATTAATATGCCGCAAAATTTTTTAAGGGGACGACAAAATTTAATACATTTCACTGTCATATTATGACAGTGAGGCGTATTTGTCGTTTCCTGAAGAATTTTACGAATGTATAATACAACATATTAGACATATTTGGAAATATTCTCAAATGCTTCCTAGAAGCTCCATAAGAAACCTTCTAAGAACATTCAAAAACGAATTCTTAAAATGTTTTTAGTATGCTTTTTAGGAAGGTTTTAAGAAGCTTTTAAGAATCTAATTGCATCATTAAAAGGGTATCTATTGAATGTTTTAAAAGAACATTCTTAGCAAGAGAAGGTTCTAAGAATATTCCATTATTCCGGGTCATATCTTCTTAGAAGATTCTTAAAATCAAATTTTGCTATCAGGGTTGATGAATTATAAAATTCGCTCTTACCTTTTTCTTGGACATTGCTTAATGTTGGCATTTTATTAAAATTTTCCATTTTACTAAAATGAAAAAGTTTTATCTTTTAGGTAGAATTAAAATGTGTTTTTTGTATGTTCTAAACTATTAGTAGAAATACTATTTTTTTGCACAAAAATAGACGAAAAACAATTGAAAATAAATTATTTCAGGCGTGTAATTGTGTGGATATTTGAGAATACATTAAAAATTTGGATTTTTGCCAAATTTACTTGTTTTTGAAATAGGTACCTAATTTTTATTTGCCACTGAATCAGTTTACCGGAATTATGCTACCAATTCTTGCACATTGCAGAAACTTTTTTCCTAACATTAAGTCCTCCAGCTTAGTTTAACTAATTTTGGACCCCTGATTTAAAAAATGTCATTAGTTTTTCTCTAGGACGTCTAGGATTTAAAATAATTTCGTAATAAAATGCTCTGCTCAATAAACTCAAAATGTAAGTTTTTTGTTGGTATTTTAATTATTTATTAAATTATTTTAGCTTAAATTTACCTTGAATTTACTAAAGTAATTGGTATATGGCAAATAGATCATATTTATCTTAACAATATGACATTTTAAATACTAAAACTAAAATATTAATGTATTTTATTAAAAAAACAACCATTATAATATATTTGACATTTTTTGTCGTTTATTTTAATTATTAAATTGAAAGCGCAACAAAGTAAACAAGTTTCAGTTTTTTTTATCCAAATCAAGACCTCAAAATTTAATGCATTGCATAATTTTCCTTTTTTCTACCTTAAATTTATTAAATCGTATCAAATATCGAATTGAATTATAGTATTATTGTGCTTAATCCTCATCATCGTCGTACATCTTTTGCTGCAAATTCCGGCAAATGTCTCCTAGCAATGAATCCAACTTCTTTCCGTTATACCCATAGATATCTACCAATGCTCTAGATTTGCAGTTACTTGGTGAAATCGTTCTCCATGTTCATCAGTTCGGCAAATTTATCAGGATGAAAAAAAAGAAAATGTATTTTAAATGACATATTAACGCTAATTCTTTGCAAAACGGAAAGCATTTATTCAATGAATTGGCGCCAATTTTAGGCCCGATATGAAACAAGAACAGTTTCAATGACAGCTTTAACACTGCCATATGCGACAAGCTCGTCAACTTTGAGAGCATTTTTGAATGCTTGATCTTTCATTAAACCTCGTATATATATATATATATATATATATCAGGTCCATTTAATATTCCTGCTAAATTAAAGTAGTAGGTATATCTCATAACATTTTGTAATGAAATATTGCCTTGGTTTTTCTTGGGCGTATAGGTACCGCAACGAAAACAAAACAAATTTACAACGACGACATTAAGGTTCGTCTCCTTTCTCTTTCTCTGCCACTTCCATTTCCTGCTCTTTTTTCATTTTTGGTTCTTAAAATCACTTTCAAGTAAAAATACAATTTAAAGTTTAAATTTTAAAAGTCAATAAGTAATAGATGCACTTTAATGTGCTTGAACGATAAAGTAGATAAAGGCGCCTTTATACTTCAATTCGATATTAAATTTTGATAAGACTTAATAAATAAGATTGTAGATTAAATTTTTGGGTACTTTAGGCATGATGTGAATAAAAACATATCAAATAATAGTCGAAGAATAATGCTTATACCAAAACCTATTTACTTTGTTGCCTTTTCAATTTAATTAGTAATTAAAAAAAAACGACACAAAAATTTTTACCAAAAAAACATTATATGTAGTTTTAGTTTTGGTATATGTTTCTTCCTTTTATGTTTCAGAAAAACCTCTAACAATGGGGGTCATAGAATTCGTAGCAGCATGTGGTTCTGTCCTTTTGCTGATAGCCACTATGCCATTTTCGTTATTTTTTTGTTTTAAGGTAGGTCAGTTTGTCAATTTTACATAAAATTATGTAGGCTCTACAAATGGACAGAACGGTTGAAATTTAAAAATTATTTATTTCAGGTCGTTCAAGAATACGAGAGAGCCGTCATATTTAGGTTGGGACGACTTAGATCTGGAGGGGCCCGAGGGCCCGGAATATTTTTCGTCCTGCCCTGTGTTGACAGCTACTGCAAAGTCGACCTGAGGACAGTGTCGTTTGATGTCCCCCCGCAAGAGGTAGCTATTTTAAAATAAATTTCTTCGATATGCCGAAATTAAAATCAAATTTCAAAAGTCTGTTTCCGATTCTCATCAGTGCCGGGTGGTCTAGTAGAAAACCGAATGTTTGACAATGATATATTTCGTTTTTAGGCTCTAACCAAGGACTCTGTCACTGTTACAGTCGATGCTGTGGTATATTACAGAATTCAGGATCCATTAAATGCTATTGTCCAAGTAACAAATTATAGGTTAGTTTGAATACCTATAGGTAGGGTTGTGAAAATTTCACTTTTTGCTTGTACTTAAAATTTCACTTGAAATTTTCATGACATTTATGAAATTTATTAAAATTTCCTAAATTTTTGAAATTTCATGAAATTTATTGAAACTTTCAATAAATTTCAATCACTTTAAGTGTAATATATTAATATTGAAATAAGCCCACTCGGGGACCATGGCAAATTGCCTCTCTTACCTCCTACCCCTTTGTGGGCCCCTGCACCAATAATATAAATAGTAAATACCTATGTTTACCACAAACTTCTTGAGATTTCCTTTTAAAATTACTAAAACTAAAAGAGATATAGCACTTTTTGGTAAGCTAATGAGATTGTGCCACTTTCATTGTTTTATATTTATATATATTTATTATTTTTAAATATTTTACTGAAATTTTATGAAAATTGAAGAAACTTCATCAAAATTTTATGAGCCAAAGGCATTTTTTATCCGTTTTCCGATGCAATTATATCAAAAGTAAAAGTTTAAATTAATCATGACTTTTAAAAAAGTTTTAAAGTCTGATTTAATTTACAAATTAAATTGGTAACTGAATTAAATTATTTAAATTAATTTATGCATATAAGTAACAATAATTACTTATAGTGTATTCAAATGCAAGCCTACTAAACAAAAACGCCAAGACGCTTGATAACTCGTTCTTATTGGTCGATTCGGAATCTGTTGTAAATTATTATTAAAGGTCCCAGGGGAGGCCGCATGTGAAATTTATGCGAAATTTTCAGTAAATTGCGAAACTTTCAATAAAACTTCTGAAACTTTCACAGGCAATGTTGAAATTTTCGGATTGAAAATTTCATTTGAAATTTTTAAAAATTTCACTTTTCCAACTAAATGAAATATTTCAAGTTTGAAACTTTCAAAGTTGAAATTTTCATTTGAAAATTTCAACTGTCCCAACCCTACCTATAGGTACTAATTAACAGTATTTAGCAGTAAATTGTTAATGATATATAATTTGTTTGTTTCTTTTGTAGCAACTCCACTAGACTTCTGGCTATGACTACCCTAAGAAACATTCTTGGTACAAGAAACCTATCGGAAATTTTATCAGACAGAGAGGCTATTTCTCATGCAATGCAAACCTCCTTGGACATAGCTACTGACCCTTGGGGGGTCAAAGTCGAACGTGTTGAAATGTAAGCAGGGTCATTCAATTCTTGTACTATGCTCCACACCTTAAAGTCCCACCACGTGACCACGTACGGAACGCAGTCTTTTGAAAATTTGGCATTTAAGGCTTTTCAGGTTATGTATCTGTCAAAGTATAGTCAACGAAAGAAATAATATTTACAGTGTTACCGCTTATGTTTAAGCGTTAAAAGTTAATAAATCTTTATAGTATCACAATAACAATGGTTGGTTTAAGAATTTAGGAATATAAATACTGCATTTAATGAAATTCCAAAGTGGAAGGTGCAATATAAGTGATATTTTTGTGCATTGGGTCTACATTTCTCCATAAAATAGTTTTAACTAAACAGCATTTATTAAAAAAAATCTAACTTCTCTATTATGAAATAGAATATCTGTATCAAAGGTAGGTTAATGTATAAGAACAAAAAATATCTAATTTTGTATTTTTAGGTTAGAAAAATCTATTTTGACCAAAATAAATAAGTGGATTATTTGAAAGAGTGTGTTAATATGGTCATAAATAAATATAGGTATACTAAATAATTGTTGAATATAGTTCAAATTAAATTGAAGCTTTTATACTTATAACAACAAAACTTGTGCATACCTCTCGGCATACTTACTTTAAGTTAGATTATAAGAAAACAAACAATTTTTAGAGAAACTTGCAATGTGAAAATATTTAATACTCCCATGACATGTGATTTATTAAAATTTTTAAAGTTATAATGATTTTTTGATGTAGATCAAATTCAGTCAAAGCTTTTTAACTATTTGTATTGACAAAACTTTATGTAGGTACACCTTAAGCTGGATAAGAAAAACTACCATATTTTTAAATACCATATTATACAGTCTTTTAAATAATCCAAAATACTTATTTATTTTGGTCAAAATAAATTTTTCTAATCTTAAAGTTACAAAAGTAGATGATATTTTTGTTATAATATATTAACCTACCTTTAAAACAGATATTCTTATTCCATAATAGAGAAGCTAGATTTTTTTAAATAAATGCAGTTTAGTTAAAATTATTTTACGGAGAAAACCAGATATTTGGACCAAATGCACAAAATATTACTTATTTGGCACCATACACTTTAGAATTTCATTAAATGCAGTATTTATATTCTTAAATTCTTAAACCATCCATTGTTATTGTAATGTTATAAAGATTTATATATTTTTAACGCCTAAACATAATATTATTTCTTTCGTTGACTATACTTTGACAGATACATAACTTGAAAAGCCTTAAATGCCAAATTTTCAAAAGACTGCGTTCCGTACGAGGTCACGTGGTGGGACTTTGAGGTGTGGAGCATAGTACATGTTGAAATCCTACTTTTGGTTTTTATTGTTTTGTTTTATAGAAAAGATGTGAGCCTTCCAACGCAGCTGCAAAGAGCGATGGCTGCTGAAGCTGAAGCTTCGCGTGAAGCAAGAGCCAAGGTCATCGCAGCTGAGGGGGAGATGAAAGCTTCTAGAGCTCTTAAAGAGGCTTCCGATGTTATAAGTGAAAGTCCATCTGCTCTACAGGTATGTAATAAATGTTAACACACACATAACAAAATTATTTAGGCACATCACGTTTTTTTAATGAATTTTACAAATAAACAACCGTTACCAATAGCTACCAAAGCCGAATTTTCTTGATAAAAGCAGTTTTTGGAAAAAAACTTGAATTTTTTTTTTTTAGTTAAGATATCTACAAACCCTCAGCACTATATCGGCTGAGAAAAATTCTACCATAATTTTCCCACTTCCGATTGACATTTTGAGTTATTTTATGGGTGGTAGGACTGAACATCGTCAAAACAATGTTATGATATAGATAAAATGAAATGTATCTAAGCGATATTAAGTGAGTGGTATAGAATCATAGACGGACAAAACTTAGTGTTCTATATTTTTTCTATATTGTACAGGGTGATCCATTATAAATGTCCACCCCCCCTAACTTTTTTCCTTTAGATTTTAAAAAAAAAAGTTTTGTATAAAAGTTGTAGGGTTCAACCAAAAGTTTTTTTTCGTGTTATGTTTACGTATACAGGGGGATTCAAAAACATATTACAGATAAAAATATATTTTTTTTCCTATGGAATGACCTATATTTTATACCCTTATGTAATACCTCTTTAAACTCTGACTTCAAAAATATATAACACATTATGGATATTTTTAATATATATGGCAGAAAATGCCAAAAACTGAAATTTCACTTAGGCCATGGGTCGTCATTTTTTCATTCGTCGTTTCATTATTTGTTTTTACGTCTTTATTGAGTGATTTTCACAGAAACACATTTTTTGAACTGTTTAATATTTAATATTTACCATATAAACAATAACAATAATTATTAATAAAATTATAAAACCTACTTAGGCGTGGAACCATCAACTAAACAGATATTCATACTTGGGCGTGGTTAACTACATTATTTATTTATTTATTGTATTCGGCCAAATGTTGAAAGTGGCCACCGTTCATTTCTACACATAGTCAATAGCCCTTTTTTAGTTTTTCTATAGCTTAATTAATCCAGTTAGAATGATTGGTATTTATATTATTTATTTCAGTCCTAATTCCTTCTTTTATTATGTTAATGTTTTCTTGCCTAGTAAAATAAATTTTATTTTTTAAATGACCCCATAAAAAAGTATCTAGAACCGTAAGGTCTGGACTATTACCTGGCCATATCGTTGTTCCGTGTCTTCCAATCCATTCTCTATATTTATTGTTGAGATAGTCCGGACTATCGAGTAACGGCCGTTACTCGAGCAACATTATGTGGAGGTGCTCCATCTTGTTGCCAAATAACTTCGGTAGGTTCATTCAGTGGCATATTATCTATAAACTCTTCTACATCTTCTGATATAATCCTTTGATATCTATCACCTGATAATGCACCTTCATAAAATATGGGGCCTACAATTTTGTTTTTTTTTAATTCCACACCAAGCATTAAAAGAACGACGCCCAGAACGTTTCACTTCAAAATATTTTTCTGGATTTCTGTAGACCAATAGTGTAAATTTTTTCTGTTTGGTACGCCTGCTGTTGTAAAAGAAGATTCGTCAGTCCATAAAATTTTATGAAAAAATAGAGGGTCGATTTCTAGTCTTTCTAACATAAGCCTACAAAATATTAGTCTTTGGGCCTTATTTTCCTCCGTGAGGTGCTGCACTTTCATCATTTTAAAAGGATGCCACTTGTTTTTCTTTAAAATTCTCCAGATTTTTCCAAAACTTTTATGCAAATCGCGAACTCCATCACGTATGGAATTTAAAGGGTTCTCTGAAAAATATACTATAATTATTAATAGAAAAAATCCAGCAAGGCCGTAAAATCTGGAAAATATTATTCGGTATTTTAAAAACTCCATCTTGGTCCTCAATAAACTTTTTGGAGACACCCTGATTCGTTGCCAGAGACAACAAAAAACAATGGTCGTCTCAATGAGCAGCGATTTTTGAAATACTCAAGTATTTATAAGGCAATAATTTATTACTAATAAATAAAAGACTCTTCTATATTTTAGTGGTGGCCGTATTATGACGAACGGACAAAGTTAAAAAACTGTTACCAATATAATATAAATAGACGTTTAATTCTTCATCCAGGTTTGGAATGATTTGCCTATTTCTTCCTTTTAAGTATTTATTTCTCCGAAGTGATAAATAAATACGTTTAAACGCCTTTCTAGATGGTATATTAATATTGTCACCATCCCCGTGGATTTCTATATATTCGCGTCTTGCCGCAACTGCATTTTTGTTTTTTTTTTTATACATAGATTAATAATTTCAAATTTTTCATTTTCGGAAAACACCATAATTACACACTTATCAAAATTGCTTAATAAAGACGCCAGAACTGTCATAGTAATAACTAAATAAACAATGGAACGATTAATGGCGTCGCATGGCTTGCTAAGTGTAATTTTAGTTTTTGGCATTTTCTCTTTTAAGTATTAAAAATAACCCTAATGTCATATATATTTTTTAAATCAGCGTTTAAAGAGCTATCACATAAGGATATAAAATATAGGTCATTCCATAGGAAAAAAATATGTTTTTATCTGTTATTTTTTTTGGATCCCCCTGTATACGTAAACATAACACGAAAAAAAACTTTTAGTTGAACCCTACAACTTTTATATAAAACTTTTTTTTCTAAAATCTAAAGGAAAAAAGTTAGGGGGGTGGACATATATAATGGATCACCCTGTACAATTTACAGGATCATTTTGGACTGTGCAGTTTTTTTGAAACTATCCGTTTTTGATTCTATCTACCCCTATTTTATAATATAAAAATCACTGTTTTACAAATTAATAAAATCATAAAAAAAAAAATTATTTGCTTTTTCATTTGTTTTACAATTTTCACTCACTGGAAAACTCATTCTCATCTCTTTTCTTTACTTGTAGAACAATCTATAGATATAAATTATTTTCTCGATTTTTATGTAAGAATGTCATATTCTCGCACGCAAAATCGTTGAAGAATGAAGCTCATTCTTAAACGATTTTTGGTAACATTTAGTTTTTAAGTATTGGTACCCCCAAAATGTCAAACTGATTATTAACCTCAAATTCATTACTTTTATTGAAAATGAAGCCTTTATTATTGTTTTGTAATATAAAGTTTGCTCCAACAATGCATTTTAATGCAAAATTTTAAGTTTAATGTGTAAAAGTGCAGTTCAGGTTGTACTTGTGCAGGATAACAAATATTGTCATTTTGTGTTGCCAACTGACATTTTGCGAGAAAAATCCCCTAACTAACAACGACCACAAAACAATTAAAAAAACCTAAATAAAAGTTAAAATCGAGAAAATAGTATAAATCACACGTTGCAGAAGGCTATTCTCGCACTCATTCGTTCGTCCACTCGCTCCTTCGTCGCTCGAGGCCAAATTTCGAATTCGTGCGAGAATATGTGGCCTTCTGCAACTTGTACTTTAATATACTAATTTTGTCAAATATTGACAATTAATAAACTGTTTTGATTGTCAGTTTATGACATTTTTAAAAAACTATTATTTATAAAAAAATATATAAAATGGGAGAAGTCATCGACGAAGATCATAAAAATTATTTATTATACAGCCATGTACCGTTATGTAGAACGATTGTGCAACCCTACATGAAAATTCTGACGAAAAAGGATATAATTCAACAAAGGATATTGGAAAAAATGAAGGATAGCTCGGGTATTGCAGGGGAAAGCCCTGAGGATATGTACAATTATTTAAGGACCTTTGCTACAGACTCTGCTAATATCCCTTTGGTTTTAAGAAAGACTGCCAAAACCTTGAAAACAACAACAAATTCTGAAGGTAGTCAAACATTTTATTTTTTGCTCAAGAAATCATCTGGTGAAATACCGATATTTCGGTAGGTTCGACAACACATCAAAGCAGTCACACCTCTTTAAAAGAGGTGTGGCTGCTTTTCCGATGGCGGCGCTAGTGGGCCGTCGAAAGAGCCTTAAAAATACTTATTGCATTTTTATCGACATATGAAGAAAGTTGTAACACCCGAAACGTTTCGGGTGTTACAGTTTTTAATCAAGAAAAACACATATCAAATTAGTCTCATGCTCAGATATTAGTTAGTATTTTAAATCATTACCACCATAACGTTACTTTTACTAAATATTATTACACTAATCACTCTGTAAGGTATAAAATAAAACAATAACATGATTTTTCGTTTCGGGTGTTACAGTAGCAAAGTAAGAAGAAAACACACTTATAACGTGATAATTATCAATTTTTTCGGGACTGTGACGCAATCCACCAATACTCCGATAAATAATCTCAAATCACAACGTGGCAAAACGGTTGACAGATTGACAGTTTTTTTTCGTATTTCCTATAGTTAGAGGCACAATGGTCATTCAGCCAGTTTACTTGAGTACAGATTTTAAAGACGTTTCTTGTAGTATTTTTGTCGCACATTATAATTTGGAATGTTTTCTTTTAAAATTTATCAGATTTAATGCGAAAAGAACATGTTTATTTTTTCAACCAGCGACAGAATTCTACCCAGCAAACCAAATCATGTCACAGTGATATAACATTTACATAAAAATTGTTCCTTACTATGCAACAGCTATGTCACCTATATGTAATGGCAATGCTCCTATGTCCGCCTCAAGACGCCTTCCTGGGTATGTAACTGTGATGTAACAGTGTTTTATCATAGTTATGTAACTGTAATGTTACAGCGCCATATCAGTTAAGTAACAGTGATATAACATTTACATAAAAATTGTTCCTTACTATGCAACAGCTATGTCACCTATATGTAATGGCGATGCTCCTATGTCCGCCTCAAGACCCCTTCCTGGGTATGTATCTGTGATGTAACAGTGTTTTATCATAGATATGTAACTGTAATGTTACAGCGCCATATCATAGTTATGTAAACGTGATAAAACAATTATATTCTATTTACATAAATGTTGCATTTACTTATTTATATATAATTTATGCAATATTTACATATTATTTATGAAATATTTATAAATATAATTTCATGTAATATATTATATTACTGGTATTAAAAATTGCTTAGCCCTAACTTGGTATTATTGCAAATTTTTTGAAAAAAAATCAACAAAATTTTAAAATTGCCATAATACCAAATTAGAACTAAGAAATTGTTAATGCCAGTTAGATAATATATTAAATAAATTATAAATAAATATTACATAAATAATAAGTAAACATTACAAAAATAAATGATTCTGAAAGAGATTAAAAAAAACAAATTGGTTTTAAATGTTTATTAAAAATTATTTTAATTAAAAAAAAACAAATCATTTCTTCTTTCTAACTTCTTAAAACAAACGAAAAGTTTTTCCAAACAAAAAAAAATCCCAAATACATTAATACTTCAAAGCTAAAAAATATATGGTAAAAAAGATAAAGCAATCCCATGAATTTAATATTAATATACCTTTTTTTCATGGGTTTTTTGCTTCCCTATAGGGTATACCAAATCTTTGTTTGGCCTGCCGGAACCATTCGGAAACTATGCCTTCAAAATTTTTGTCTGTCGAAGTGCACACAGCAGCTTAAAAAAATTTATTTAATAAAAAATCCCATAAAATTTACATTTTTACCCTTCAATAAATATTTCAACAGATTTTAAATTTTGAATTTTATTGTTGTTTCTTAGCCCCAGCCAAGAGCAATCTTTTGCCAAATTATTTGAGAAGATTTTCTTTAAAACTCTTACAGTACTGTGGCATCTTTCTCTGAGACGCCTCCAATTTTTGTTATATACTGAAACTGAAAAAAAATACAATTTAATATTATTTTTGTTTATTGATTTGTTTTCAAAACAAAGAACAACTATTCTTTATGTAGTTATGTAAATGATATTTGGTACAAATAATAATTTGTTTGATTTTATTTATTCAAGTCAAATGCACCCTGCAACCTTAAGAGATATAAAAATAATGAAAAATATGGAATTTGCATAAAATTAATTATCAAAACAATTATAATAAAAAAATGTATCCATCTTGGTTATTTAGCAAAATTATTGTATCTTTTAAGTACCAGTTGAAAAAACAGTATAAAGTTAAAAAAAATATAGAAATTAAACTCTTATTTTGGCTACCAAATATCATTAAATTATAATTTGTCGCTTGTTTTTTAGCACCCTGTTTTAAAAACAAATTAACATTATTAAACAGGTTTAAAATCGCCCTTTATATACTTACAAATTCAGCCTCTACTTCTTTTTGCAATAATGTTTTCTCAAAACTTTTAACAGATCATTAATAAAAAGTTGACTAGGTAAGTATCTATTACACAAATCTTGCAAATCTTCCACAAAAGTATGGGAATTTTTCCTATGACCTCCTGAATATTCTCCCAAATTTTCTGTAAAAATATTTTTATTATATGTTTATTTATTGGCTGGTTAGGGAAAGATAATACTTCGGTTTTAGCCTCAGTATATTCCACATTGTCTTGGGTATTTTCTATACAATTTCTTACCTCCACGCTCATTATTTTGAGATCTGCATTAATTCTCCTCCGCTTTTGCCTCCGGGATAGGGAAATATATTTTTTTCTATTTTTGTCTTCCATTTTATTATAAAAAAATGGAATCAAACTTAACTTAACTTAAAACACAATAGAGAGCACTCGACACAACCGTTTAAACGAGTTCGTTAGTAAGATAAAAAGGCTATATAAATACTATAAAACATTAATATATAACATTTATATATCATTGTTACAATGTAGGTATAAAACATTGTTATATAGCCATGACATAATAGGGATGTAAATATAACAAGAAGGGATCATTTTGATATAACTATTATATTAAAATTTCTTATTATAATTATGTAACAAAATAAAGAAAAACTATGTAAATACCATATAATAAGGTTATATGGATACTATAAAACATTGCCATATATCAATGATGTATCATTGTTCCATTGTAGATATATAACATTGTTATATGGCTGATACATAAGGGGGATGTAAATATAACAAGAGGGGAACATATTTATATAAATGTTATATTACTATGTTTTATTATAATTATGTAACAAAATAAATAACTAATATGTAAATGTTATGTAAACAATTTTATATGGCAATGTTCTTTGTTAGTTATATCATGGTTATGTAAATGGAACAGCCTGGTTTGCTGGGTAGTTACGTGGAATATCTTGAGGATTTAAAGCTAGTACTCTCTGTTAAGGGAAACAGCAGTTGTTCGTGCATTATTTCCCAAACTGTACTTTTTGGAACGACCTCTTGCATAGCAATTCTTCTAGTGCTTGTCCCAGCCCTTGTGGAAATTTTTCTCTGAGAAAGTCTTACTTTCTCTGAAAAAGTCTGAATAATACTTATGAGCCATTCCACGCGTAACGGATAGGACAGTTGCCGTGTTTTTATTTACAAAATAATATTTTTATATTATATTACTAATGTCAAATTTTTATAAATAGTTCTAAACTAAAGCTGTTTAACAAGGTTTTTATTTGGCAAAATTAGGTATCGTGGTTGACTGTTTAATTCCTTAAAAACTAATAATTTAAAGCGTAACGGACGGGACTTCGTAATGGTCCCGTCCGTTAAAAACACGGCAACTGTCCTATCCGTTAAGCGTGGAATGGTCCTTATTAAGTCGGAAAAAGTCAGAATAAGACTTATTAAGTCGGAAAAAGTCTGAATAAGTCTTATTAAGTCAGACTAATAGCAAGATTTGGGAGTCTTCTTGAGTTAATAAGACTTTTTAAGACTTAATAAGACTTTTAGTAGAGAAATTGTTGGTACCTATGGCGATAAAAATAAATATCCGAAATAATTCATAGAGGTTGAATTTGGTTATCGTAAAATAAAACACATAGAAAGGTATTTATTAACATTTTCGCTGTTGTTATAAGCCAAGTTTATTGCATAATTACCTATATAATAACATAGGTAAGATGTAATAATTATAACAATTTTAATTTTATACATACGATGCGCTTGAGATGCTTTCATTGTTTCCACCATAGAAAAAGGAGATGTCTATAGACATGATATTTTCGATAGACTCATAAGACAAATATGGTTGATCTTCGTGTTTCATTCATCTTTGTATCATGGTTGATCTTCGTGTTTACGTACAGTGTTGCCATAAAAGTTCCTGACCATAAATTACAAAATACTAAAATAATAATAAAAATGTAACAGGATAGAATAAAATAATTGTGCATATTTAGTAAATATACAATATTATTTACTGAAGATTTCTTTTGTTATTATTTTGATAAAAATTTGAAAATCACCCGCAAATATTACAAAAATACCCGATTTTCGAGTAAAATACTTGCAAACGGCAACACGGTGTCCCACTGACAGGTCAGCTGTGCTCTAATTGGTCAGCTAGCTGTTTGTAACAATGTTTAGATAGGTAAATATTTGCGTGTATCAAAAGAAACTATTAAAATAAAACGTACAGTGGCAACTCCTTTTTCTATGGTGGAAACAATGAAAGCATGCATGTCAAGCGCATCGTAGGTATGTATAAAATTATAATTGTTATAATTATTACATCTTACCTATGTTATTATATAGGTAATTATGCAATAAACTTGGCTTATAACAACAGCAAAAATGTTAATAAATACTTTTCTATGTGTTTTATTTTACGATAACCAAACACAACCTCTATGAATTATTTCGGATATTTATTTTTATCGCCATAGGTACCTACCATTTCTCTACTAAAAGTCTTATTAAGTCTTAAAAAGTCTTATTAACTCTTCCAGAAGACTCCCAAATCTTGCTATTAGTCTGACTTAATAAGACTTATTCAGACTTTTTCCGACTTAATAAGTCTTATTCTGACTTTTTCCGACTTAAAGTAAGACTTTCTCAGAGAAAAATTTCCACAAGGGAGGATTAGTGGCAACTGCTTTAAGAAGCGTTTCTTCGTTTTCCACTGTTCGAGTTGTTCTATTTCCCTGCTGAAAAAAACTGATCGAAAATGGATCGAGTTTAAATCTCGATCCTTTTTGATCATTTTTGATAAGGATTTTGTCTCCTGTTTTCGTGATCAAAAAGGATCGAGTTTCGATCCTGTTTTCTGGATCAAATAGGATCGAGTTTCGATCCTTTTTGATCACGAAAACAGGATCAAAACTCGATCCTTTTTGATCACGAAAACAGGATCGAAACTCGATCCTTTTTCGATCATTTTTGATAAGGATTTTGTCTCCTGTTTTCGTGATCAAAAAGGATCGAGTTTCGAACCTTTTTGATCACGAAAACAGGATCGAAACTCGATCCTTTTTCGATCATTTTTCATAAGGTTTCCATAATTAATTCTAAAATAAAAGATACAATTTACAAAACTTGAAAACTTTATTGGGCACTTTGTATTTCAAAAAAATCGGATGACCACGACGATGATGATGAAATTCGTAATTATAATAATAACAGTCATATATTTTATAAAATAATATTCACAACAATAATTCCGTGGTTTCGGGGAATAAGGGGATAAGTCATTTTTGGGTCTCTCTTTTCAGACTACTGTCATGAGGTAAGAGTATGAAAAGTTGTATATAGTACTACTTTTACTTATTATGGAAACCTTATGAAAAATGATCGAAAAAGGATCGAGTTTCGATCCTGTTTTCGTGATCAAAAAGGATCGAGTTTCGATCCTGTTTTTATGATTAAATAGGATCGAGGTTCGATATCGTTTTTGATCACGAAAACAGGATTGAAACTCGATCCTTTTTCGATCATTTTTCATAAGGTTTCCATTATTAATTCTAAAATAAAAGATACAATTTACAAAACATGAAAAATATATTGGACATTTTCGTTTTCAAAAATATCGGATGACGATGGTGATGAAATTTTTATCCTTTTTCTAAAACAAAAAAAAGTGTCCCTTTAGGGAATATATTTATATTACTATTTTAATATTGTCAAAATAATCTTGCAAATTTTCATTCATACCTTTTTTCCTTCGGCGATTTTTCAAATTTTTTTTTTTTTTTTATTTGTATTTTCGTTTTGCTTTAGCTCATATATTGTGGCGTACTTTTTTTCTTTATATTTTGATGTGGCCCCATTGCACGCCAATGTTGTATCAAATTTTAACAATTTTATTTTTCAAAAATAGGGCTTTCATATGAAAGGTATGTATACAAAATTATGATTAATTTTTATCATTTTCATAGAAGATATGACGAAAAAACGTTTTTTCTTTGTCAACTTATGTGTGATATTTTTCTGAATCAGGATAATGGGAGGAACATTTTTCCCTGGTAGGTTAAAACTGAATCACCCTGTATAACTATATACAAGACTAAAAATTAATGATTTACTTGCAAAAAAAGAAACAACGCATTGCGCAGTTGCTCCCTCACGTTCAATAAAGTATTTCTTGTTTCGAGAGAAAGTTTTTGCATCGAAATTTGAAATTTCCGACAACAACACCCTTTTTTTATGCCCCGTGTCGCAAAATTTAACAAAAGCACATGGTCCATCAGCGGTTAAATTAATTGACATCTTGCTATCTTGCTGTCTTTAAATTTACCTATAACAAATAAATTCATAGTAAAATTTGTATACATAACCTTACTTTTCAGGGGCTGAAAAAACAAAATTCATAAAAAATTGCCGCAACTCGGGAATCATAAGTTTTTTTTGTTTGATGGCAATCAGTACTTTTCATCGAATTTTTAATTATTATAGTAAAGAAAAACCCACAGTAAAACCGTAAAATCGATAACAAAAAACACTAACCAACATGACAAGCACGTGCACAGATTATAGACAGGGTTGCCAGATGATTTTTTTTTATTTCCCCAGATTTTTTACAAAAAAATCCCTAGATTTCCCTAGACAAGTATGTCAAGATTTTATTTTATTGGAACTTTTTTAATTTAAATATATCGATGGCTTAGGCGCAATACCTCGTATCATTAATTAATCATCATAAGGTAGCGCATGAAAAGTAGTACATAATACTACTTTTTCTTATAATAAGGAAATGTAATTATAATTACGAATTTCATCATCATCATCGTTGTCATCCGATCTTTTTGAAAGTGCCCAATAAAGTTTTCATGTTTTGAAAATTGTATCTTTTATTTTAGAATTAATTATGGAAACATTATGGAAAATGATCGAAAAAGGATCGAGTTTCGATCCTGTTTTCGTTATCAAAAAGGATCGAAACTCGATCCTATTTGATCATGAAAACAGGATCGAAACGATCCTTTTTGACCACGAAAACCTTATCAAAAATGTTCGAAAAAGGATCGAAACTCGATCGTGTTTTTATGATCAAATAGGATCGACTTCGAAATCTGATCGAGAATGATAAAAAAGGATCGAGAATTTCAAGAACCTAGTAGTCGATCATATTTGATCATGAAAACACGATCGAGTTTCGATAATATGTTATCAAAACTCAATCGTGTTTTCATGATCAAATAGGATCGACTTCGAAATCTGATCAAATATGATAAAAAAGGATCGAAACTCGATCGTGTTTTTATGATCAAATAGGATCGACTGCGAAATCTGATCGAAAATGATAAAAAAGGATCGAGAATTTCTAGAACCTCATTAAATATGATAAAAAAGGATCGAGAATTTTCTGGACCATGATCAAATATGATAAAAAAAGATCGAGTTTCGATCAGTTTTTTTCAGCAGGGTTCTTCCACATTTGTTTACTTTAAAGTGCCAGTTTCACACAGTCTTCGATGTAAACTGGTAAACCTTTTTTCACATGGTGGTATACCCGGGAATGCTTCTTGGTACAATCTTCTAGCTTCGCGACTATTACCATTGGCCTTACCATTCATAAAATGCATGTTGGCCATTTCTTGGATAGTGAGAATTGGTCATCATTGGTCATCATTTATCCTACACCTTCATCCATCAACCTCTTCAATTATAACACCTAACCACTTTTTGATCAATGTAGAGGTCAATATTTGGATGGTAGAAGGAAACTACGTAAGTTTATTAAAGGATGTGGATTGTCCGAAAACCAAATTTAAAATTCGTTCTAATCATGTCATGGCCGCCCATGTTGCGTTTCACAAGGCCCATATGATGACAGAAACTTCCGATCAACAATTTTGGAGTTTCGGGTGAATATACAGTCAATCAAGTAAGTTAGGTGTACAGTTCGATGAAATGTTAATTTTTTTTAGTTATAAAGTGAACGACCCCAAGGCAATACTGTGTGTGCCAGTCATAACACCGGAAGAGCAATGTGTGGCTGTTTTCGATTTATATAGGACGTCTGAGCAACCGAGTTATGGTGAGAAAGAGTTAAAAATCAGTTTGGTCTTGGCAGGTTGGATTGGAGCAGCGATTCAGCAGAATAGAGATAGAATTATGTTGCAGGAGCAAAAGAAAATAAATAATATGGTTTTGGGTAAAATATCATTTAGTTTTTATAAAAACGACAATCAAAAGTAAAAGAACCTTAAACTTATATTTTTGGCGACATTTTTGAAGCTTTGCTTCGGGATGGGAATTTAGCTAAAAAAAATGACAAACCCTATAAGTTATGTGGGACAAACTTGCACAGTAAAATATATTTAAAAATGTTACCTATGACAGTTTCACAGTAGTTCAAAATAAAAAAATGGGAAAAAAACATTATAGGTAAACATAATTTTAAAATTTTCGAAATTTTCAAATATTTGAAATATTTGAATTAAGATTTTTTAAATATAAAAGTTTTGAAATTTTTGGATGTTTTCGATCCAAACTTCAAAATTTCCAAAACAGTTTATATTTTATTTTTTTTAATTTCCAAAAATTTCAAAAACAAAATAAAAAAAAAAATTCAAAAATTTTCAAAATTCTTTTAAAATATCGACTTATTATTATCTAATCTCAAAAGAGTTCGGATTTCGATTTTAAAATTTTGGTAATTTAAAAAATTTGTAATTTTTAACAATTTCTAAACCTGAAATCCAAAATTTCCAAAAAATTTAACATTTTAAAAATTTAAAAAATATTCCAAAATTTACGAAAACTTTTAAATTCTTCCAAATCTAGACTTCAAATTTTCAAAATTATCAAATCTTTTTCCAAATGTTCTAAAAATCCCCCAAATACAAATTTTTTAAATCCAAAATTATGAAGTTTCAAGAATTTTTTAGGATTTTCAGAATTTTTGGTATTTTGGATATTTTAAAATTTTGGATTTAAAATATTTAAAAATTACAAATATTTTATAATTTTTTACTTTTAAAGATTTTTTAATTTAAAATTTTTGGATCTTTTTGTTTTGAAAGATTTGGAAATTCTTTTAAATCTAAATTTTGAATTAAAAAATTTTCAGGACTTGTTTTACAATTTTAATTTTTTTTAATTTCCCAACCTTCAAATCCAAACTTTACAAAATTCCCAAAATGTACAAAATATTTTAAATTTTAAAAATTTTTAAATCATTAGAAATGAAAATTATCAAATGTTTCAAAATGTTTTACTTCAAAAATTTTCAGTTTCCAAATCTGCTAAATTCAAAACTTAAAATTTCAAAAAAAAAAAAGTATTTGATATCCAAAAAATTTAAAATTTACAAAATTTTGAAAATTTAAAAAATTGGGACAATTTCCAAAAAAATTTATAATTATTGAAATTTTTTAAAAATTGCCCAATATAATATAATATAATATAATATAATATAATATAATATAATATAATATAATATAATATAATATAATATAATATAATATAATATAATATAATATAATATAATATAATATAATATAATATAATATAATATAATATAATATAATATAATATAATATAATATAATATAATATAATATAATATAATATTTAATATAATTTTCAAAATTCTCAAATTTTTAACAAAAATTTAAATTTTAAAATTTTGAACTTTTAAAAATTTCTTTAAAGATTTTTAAAATTTTAAGATTTACAATTTTTTTAAAATTTCCCACTTTTCAAAATTTTTGGTTCAATAAATCTATTCATTCATTCATTCATTCATTCATTCATTCATTCATTCATTCATTCATTCATTCATTCATTCATTCATTCATTCATTCATTCATACATCATTCACATCCAAAATTAAAAAAAAAACAAAATTTCAAAATTTTTAAAAAATTTCTGTTTTCATTTCTCACAAATTCAACAATTTTAAAATTTACAAAAAAAAATTTAAAATTTTCAAAAATTTTAAAAATTTTCAAAAATTTTACAAATTTTCAAATATTAGATACCTACTAAAGTTTTGAAATTTTTTAAATTATCAAATTTTTAAAATTTAAATACAAATATTTTATTTGTTAAAATCTTTTAAATTTAAAATTTCCAAAAATTTTAAAACCTAAATTTAAAAAATCTTTGTTGAGTTCAACATTTTTTAAACCTTTTAAATTCAAAATTTTAATATTTTCAAAATGTCAAAAAAATCAAAAATTCTTGAAATCTCAAATTTTAGAAATCTTGTTACTCGAAAATTTGGAAATATTAAATTTTGTGAATTTTGAAAATTTTAGATTAGGCAATTTTTAAAAAAATTCAAATTGTAAAATCTTTGTTAAAAAAATTTCAATAGGTAATTAAATTTTTTTTATTAATTGTACAGGGTGATCCCCTATAATGTCGCCCCCCTTTAACTTTTTTATTTTAAGTGTCCCAAAAAAATTAAAAGTGTGGTTATGTAGGAACTAAAAAATACTTTTTTTCTACGTATAAAGAAAATTGGAAAATTGATCAGTATACAGGGAAAAACAAAAAGTTAATTTTTTTTCAATGGATCACCCTATATATGAATTTATTTTTCGATTCCTTGTAAAATTCTAAGCATATTTCATATATCATAACATATACCTAAATTCAACCGTTTCTGAAATATTTAAATTATTTTTAAGATAATAAGTTGAAATATTTTGTCTTTCTCTGTCTGGGTACGCCATTTTTATTTATTTAACAACACTTATTGACATAATGTCACTATAGTAATTTATTTTCAATAAAAAATTTGGTATACTAAGGCTTCTTGATTTTTAACAGTTTAAAAAAACATTTAATGATGACATTTCGAATGCGAATATTTCAGAAACGGTTGAATTTAGGTATATGGTTTGTATATAAATTATGCTCAGAATTTTACAAGGAATCGAAAAATAAATTTAAATATAGGGTGATCCATTGAAAAAAAATAAACTTTTTGTTTTTCCCTGTATACTGATCAATTTTCCAATTTTCTTTATACGTAGAAAAAAAGTATTTTTTAGTTCCTACATAACCACACTTTTAAATTTTTTGGGACACTTAAAATAAAAAAGTTAAAGGGGGGCGACATTATAGGGGATCACCCTGTACAAATTTTTGAAATTTTAAAAATTTCGTTTATTTTGTAAATTTTTGAATTTAAAAGATTTAAAAAGTTTTGAACTAAAATTCAATGAAGCATAGCTTCTGTCGTGCATCCATTCCTAAAGTGACATAAACCCTCTACAGAGCCAGTTCTTTTACTTTGTGCGACAACTGTCTGATCTTATAATTTGTCTAATCCAATAAATAATCATTATATATCCTTGTTTTTTATTAGAGTTAATGAATAAATTTTACAATGGAGACATAGACTTGGATGAAGTTCTTGGTTGTTTGATGAGATTAACAAAAGAAAGAACATTAGCTGAAAAAGGGAAATTCTACCTCATAAAAACTGACAGTGATGACCTTCAAGCTACCGTTCTTGAACAAGGACTCTACGATGACAATTTATACCGAAAAAGCGGGAAGGTCAGGTGGGTTGAATTTTTACCACCAATGGGGTAGTTAAATTTTTTCTGACCTATACTTTTTATGGTTTTATTCAAGGCGTTTTGTAATATTAAACATTTCTGTGAAATCAGAATTTCAATTGAGTTTACCGTTTTCGAGATATTTACAAAAAATATAAATTTTTATGACGTCACAAACCTCGCCATGTGACCAACATTCTAAGATTTCTATTGGTTGAAAATTACCCTGTTGTCAAGTTGTCTTGTTAATGATTTAATTCGGTTATGTCAGAAAATACCCGAAGAGGTTATGTACAAATACTGTCACTGTCAGTTGAGTGAAAGATGGTCACCAAATTCATTAAGTACCTATATTCCTTATTACGAGGTATCATATTACTGTTTGATATTTTAGAGTCCAAGATATATCTAAAAGAAAATAAAGAACTAGGCATTATACTAATGAAATGCATTTACGACAAAATATGATTATAATTATAGGTACTTACTTTATTTGTTTAAAAGCTCCAATGTTCAATGTAACCAACCATTCCACAAGATTCCTCTGCTTTGGAGTCCGTTATTAATAAATTACTTATCTAATATCAATTACAAATAACATAACAATAACATTGATTTTCAATTATCTAAATTTAAAAAAAAAACATAACCCGAAAAAAAGAAACGTCAAAAAATCAATTCTTCTTCTTCTTCTCAACTAAAATTATAGATCAAGTGGTTTTAAAACTAAAATATTATAACGTGGCGCCATCTATCGTAAGAATCTTAAACTATACACACTGGCAACCATAGAAAAAGCTGGCAACGTTGTCAATAGCCTAGTGACGTAATTAGGAGATTTTTTTTTGTAAATATATCGAAAACGGTAAACTCAATTGAAATTCCGATTTCACAGAAATGTTTTAAATTACAAAACGCCTGAATAAAACCATAAAAAGTATAGGTCAGAAAAAATTTAACTACCCCATTGGTTAACCATGATTTTTTTAGTTTGTTGAATTCAAACACTGTTGCCGGCTCAGTAGCTAGACATAGAAGAAGCGTTCTACTTAAGAATCTTATGTTGGATAGAAGGTTTAATCGCCATTTCGAAAGGAGCACCGGGCAATACAAAAAATGCATTATGGCACTGCCCATCAAAGGTGGCAGGACTGTCTATGGAGTGGTAAGTCCAAACTAACAACATCCCTTGGTACTATGCTCCACATCTCAAAGTCCCACCACGTGACCACGTACGGAACGCAGTCTCTTGAAAATTTGGCATTTAAGGCTTTTCAGGTTATGTATCTGTCAAAGTATAGTCAACGAAAGAAATAATATTATGTTTAGGCGTTAAAAATGTATAAATCTTTATAACATTACAATAACAATGGATGGTTTAAGAATTTAAGAACATAAATACTGCATTTAATGAAATTCTAAAGTGTATGGTGAAAAATAAGTAATATTTTTGTGCATTTGGTCCAAATATTTGGTTTTCTCCATAAAATAATTTTAACTAAACAGCATTTATTTAAAAAATCTAGCTTCTCTATTATGGAAAAAGAATATCTGTATTAAAGGTAGGTTAATATATTATAACTAAAATATCATCTAATTTTGTAATTTTAAGGTGTGAAAATTTATTTTGACCAAAATAAATAAGTATTTTGGATTATTTAAAAGACTGTATAATATGGTATTTAAAAATGTGTTAGTTTTTCTTATCCAGCTTAAAGTGTACCTACGTAAAGTTTTGTCAATACAAATAGTTAAAAAGCTTCGACAGAATTTGATCTACATCAAAAAATCATTATAACTTTAAAAAAATTAATAAATCACATATCATGGGAGTATTAAATATTTTCACATTGCAAGTTTCTCTAAAAATTGTTTGTTTTCTTATAATCTAACTTAAAGTAAGTATGCCGAGAGGTATGCACAAGTTTTGTCGTTAGAAGTATAAAAGCTTCAATTTAATTTGAACTATATTCAACAATTATTTAGTATACCTATATTTATTTATGACCATATTAACACACTCTTTCAAATAATCCACTTATTTATTTTGGTCAAAATAGATTTTTCTAACCTTAAAATACAAAATTAGATGATATTTTTTGTTCTAATACATTAACCTACCTTTGATACAGATATTCTTATTTCATAATAGAGAAGTTAGATTTTTTTAAATAAATGCTGTTTAGTTAAAACTATTTAATGGAGAAATGTAGACCCAATGCACAAAAATATCACTTATATTGCACCTTACACTTTGGAATTTCATTATATGCAGTATTTATATTCCTAAATTCTTAAACCAACCATTGTTATTGTTATACTATAAAGATTTATTAACTTTTAACGCTTAAACATAACACTATAAATATTATTTCTTTCATTGACTATACTTTGACAGATACATAACCTGAAAAGCCTTAAATGCCAAATTATCAAAAGACTGCGTTCCGTACGTGGTCACGTGGTGGGACTTTGAGGTGTGGAGCATAGTTCAAATTTTTTTTTATTATTGTATTTTTAGCTGGAACTAGAAAACAAAGATGCTCCATTCCCAAACTACAATTTTACCCCCGCTGATGAAGAGTTTACCAGGAACATTTGGCAATACTGCTCTTTAGCGTTGAGTTTCGACTATGTTCGTTTAAAGTACCCAACTACTTTGTACAACCTTAAAAACGACAAACTTGTGGTACTGAAACAAATAAAACCTTGTCCACATGATATGGAGATAGTTTTTGATGACGACACCACCCAGCCACCAAGCGGATTCCACTTGTTTTCATGGTAACTAAATGGTGGTAATTTGCGTTTGCATAACAAAATGTTTTTGCACCTCAGGTACATTGGAGTTAACAGTAAATCCAATATGCCTCTGTACGCATTTTACATGTTGAAAGAGGTTATAGGTATTGAAAACATCGATCCAGAATTGTGTAAGGAGTTTGTTTTGACATGCAGAAAGATGTACAGGAACAACCCATATCACAACTTCGAACACGCCTTTAATGTGTGTCATTGCCTTTACAGCATCGTGACGAGAAATAAAGATGCCTTTACAACCCTTGAAGCTAACGCATTGCTGGTGGCTGCTTTATGCCACGATTTGGATCATTTAGGGGTAAGTTAGGACAAGATATTTTGTACAGGTCTTGAAAGCAATGATGAAAGCGACATTCTTCACGAATTTGATTTTCAAGACTTCTAAATTTGATGTAAGGTAGCCCCATGATAAATACCCTGATAGCACACTTTATTCTAAGAATGTTTTTTAAACCTTCCAGTGAGAATATTCTTCAAATTGTTTATTTAATATTTTTAAATAAATATATCGCAATTTTTTTTAAGGGGACGACAAATACATTTCACTGTCATATTACGACAGTGAGGCGTATTTGTCGTCTCCTGAAGAATTTTACGAATGTAGAATACAACATATTAGAACGTGGGTATCTGACATATTTGGAAATATTCTCAAAAGCTTCCTAGAAGCTCCATAAGAAACCTTCTAAAAACGTATTCTTAAAATGTTCTTAGGATGCTTTTTAGGAAGGTTTTAAGAAGCTTTTAAGAATCTAATTGCATCATTAAAAGGGTATCTATTAAATGTTTTAAAAGTCCCTAAGAACATTCTTAGCAATAGGGAAAGGTTCTAAGAATATTCCATTATTTCGGGTCATATCTTCTTAGAAGATTCTTAAAATCAAATTTTGCCATCAGGGTAGTCAAGAGGCGTGAGATCTGGATATCTAGCTACTAGTCTTCAATTCTCTGTGTTTTCGTTAAATGGTATATTTAAATACTATGCATACTTTTAGGTAACGAATAGTTTTCTCATGATAAGTGATCATAACATTTATACCCTATATGGAGAGTCGTGCCTGGAAAATTACCACAACATGATGGGAAATTTAATTTGGGAAAATTGCAATTTTCTTATAAACCAAACGGAAGAAGAGTATAGGCTATTTATCAAAGAAATTAAATACGATATAATAGCCACTGACCTATCAAATTATTTTAAACAAAGATTAAAGTAAGTATTTGGTAATGTAGTCAACACATAATGAAACGTACAATTTTCAAGGATTAATGTTTACATGAACACCCATTCGAAGTTTGACTTTATGCTTCAAGAGCATAAAGAATTCACAAGATCCATGATAATGACTTGCGGAGATTTATCAGGTATTTAAATTTCCATGCTTCCAGAGCCATTTCACAAAAAAAATTTTTTTTAAGGTTCCTGTAAATCATTTCCAGTGGTTATGACCATGGTTACAAATCTATATAAAGAATTTTACAGGCAGGGAGATATGGAAAGGGACATGGGTTACACTCCGTTACCGATTATGGACAAAAACAAAATACAGTCCGTTCCATTGGAACAAATACAATTCCTTAACGTTTTGGTGTTACCTTGTACTAATATTGTGAGGTTTATATTCCCGAATTGTTCCGACATTCACATGCTGGCCACCAGGGTAATAAAATAGTATCTTAATAAGTCCTCTTTGTCGCCGGGTTGAGCCATACGCCCGATACCATCTCTTTGATTTTGTAAGGATTTATTCACCAACCCTCAAAACGTATAATTCGTGAGGTCTTGTCAAACCTTAATATTTTTTAGGTGAGGGATACTTGGGAACAAGCTGCCAAGGTGGCTAATACCGATGCAAAATGGCAGGACTTTGTACCCAAAAAGAAAAGCGTGCTTTGTACTTTACATACTATATTGGGAACAGAATGCAAATATGCAATATAACAGAAGATAAGAAATGTATAATAAATCAAATAAACATATCATTCATAAAAACTCCGTATAAAATTGAATTTAGAATCATAGATTAAATTGATTGGGATTGTGTGCTCTGGACAATAGATGGTTTAATATTGAAAAGCCAAACTTAAATTAAGTTTAATATTAATAAATACTGACAATGCATCATCTAAAACTTTATTGAAGCAAAACCGAAGTGGGTTTGATTAATGTTTACCGAACTAGTGATGTAATAGAGTATATTAAAACTTTATTGGAAGTTTCAATAACACATTTAATATTATACTAGTACACGAACTCAATTTCAAACCTTTGTTTTCATCATTTATTTGTTCAACAATAAGCTGCCGTAAAAAAGAGCGTTAACAATAGTTTAAATGTTACCTTTTGAATTAGTAACAGCATTGTTTACCAATAACATTTTTACTTTTAAATACACTGCTCAAGAATTGATATGGCTCTCTGTATAAGGCGAGCTGATATACTGCCCAGATAAGCCAACAGAGGCGAGATGTAAGAACATCACGTGATCGTCACGGTCTAAAGACGTAGCCTACGTAAGGCTACAGTATAGCCAGTGGCTAATTCTCGATTCCTTTAGGCCATTAGTACACTGTTCAAAATTTCATGACCATTTTAAAACCAAATTAACACCATACATGGTCTATATCGATACAAACCAAAATGGTGTTAAATATGGTTCGTTGGTCCGGTGTAAATTCAAATACTAAAATAGGGTAAATTTAACTTTCACACAGTATTAAAATAAATTTTACCTGGTGTAAATTGAACTCCTTTTCAGTGTTAAATATTATGTGTTTTTGGTCAAATTAAATCATACTACACAGAAAAAAAGGAAAAAAAGGAAAAAAAGGAAACAAGTTTCTTGACGCATTACAAGTATATTACTAGTGGTATTATTCCAGAAAATTGAACCTTCAACTCGCTAGAGATAATGTTTTTAGTGCGTTCCACCAACTTAAAATACTTCAAGTATTGACAGCTGTTTCCACCTATTCCCTAGTAGCAATTTTGTCAAAGACTTGGGCCAGAATGGGTCAAGATACTTTGTACAGATTTTTTATCAAGAATCGGACAAGAATTGTTCCAGATTCTTGGCCAAGATTATTGGGCAAGACTTGGGCCAGAATGGGTCAAGATACTTTGTACAGATTTTTTATCAAGAATGGGACAAGAATTGTTCCAGATTCTTGGCCAAGAATTTGACCAGAAATCTATAGAGTAGAGGTTCTCATTCTACAGTAGCATCAGAGCCGTACCGAGGCACACTTTTTGGGGGGGGGCGGAGACGATAAAAAACCAACTTATTTTTTTATACAGTATACAGTATACAGTATGTCCATGGATAGAGGGCCCAAGAGGACAAATGGACTAAAATTTTCATTTTTCGACCAAAAGTCATTGCTTTTAAAAAGTTCTGCTTGTTTAAAAAAGTCTATTGCCATACTTTAAATTTGAAAATATTATACAGGGGGGTCAAAAAACAAGAAAACATGAAATACTCTTTATTTTTCGTTTTGGAGCAAAATGACAAATAAAAAAAAGATTTCAAATTGTATCCAAAGACCATTTGTAAAATTTTAACTATTCGGAAAAATAAAATTTGCAATATTATTCCAAATTTTATTTTTCTTAGTTTTGAAATTTAATTTCATATTTACAAAAATGACACAATCAACAATAATCAAGTAACGTCAAATTGACAATTTGCATTCTATCATTGTTCATTTTGGTAATTAATGTAAATTTACACAAAATGTCCGGGTTAAGAACCCTATACATAGGTAAAGGATACGTGAAATGAGGTACAAAAGTATAAATTAGAAATTCAATTTTAAAACTTTATAAGAAAAAGAAAATTTGGAATACTGAGTTGAAATTTTACAATTAGTCTTTGGATAGGATATCCTAATAATATTATTTGTCATTTTGCTCCAAAACGAAAAATAAAGGTAGTTTATTCCTGAGAGTTTTTCATGTTTTCTTGTTTTTCGACCCCCCGTATAAAATTTTCAAAAAGTATAGTAATAGACTCCCCCCCTACACCCCCCTTAGGTCCGGCCCTGAGTAGCATCATTCACAATACTCTACTCTATTAAATGAAATAGTCAAAATTCTACTATTTGAATTAGTACCAGCATTTTTTACTAATAAAGTAGTCGTTTTCACTTTAAAATGATTATATTTTACTACTTAAAAAACTATATGCATAAAATTTCGGGACACCCTGTATAGGTAAGAATTTTCTAGTAGGCTTTAGGACAAAAGTGACGTTTGGGTTATTTATAATAGTTATATTTTTTATAATTTTATAAAAAAAATTGAAATATTAACTCTGAAAAAAAATTGGTTTTTGTAACTTTGCCCCCCCAAATGTTACGCCTATGATGAAATTTTAAAAGTTTTGATCTTAGATCTAGATTCAGCATGTCAAAATTACCAAAGTACCAAATCTTCACTTCATGAACGTTTTAAAGAAAATATGAGATAATAATAATGAGAGTAATTTATTTATAAATGCATTTTTCTCGAAAATGGTGCATCTGAACGATCTAAATAAAGAGTACTTATTTTTCGTAAAAAACTATAAATTTTCATAATTTCATAAAAAAAATTAAAACATTAACCTAGAAAAAAGTTAGGGCTATTTTTGTAACTTTGCCCCCCAAATGTAACGCCTGTGATTCAATGTTAACAGTTTTGATCTAAGATCTAGATTCAGCATGTCAAAATTACCAAAGTACCAAAAATTTATATCTTTCTGTTCAAACCTCTAGGAATAGTTTTAAAAAAATGATCCTCTTAGGCTCCTATTCAGGGGGCCGTAGCTCCGTTAGGGGGCATTTTTTGATACATGTTTATTAAACAAACAAGTGTTATTTTTTTATAAAGAATGCACTTTTTAAGTTTGGCCCCCCAATTTCGGGACACCCTGTATAGGCAAGAATTTTGACGTATACGTCAAAATTCTTGGCCAAGATTCTGGTCGAATTCTGGTCACAGACTTGTCGCAAGTCTGGCACCAGTCTGGATAAAGAATTTTGATCAAGAGTCTTGGTCAAGAATTGTCCAATTCTTTACAAAGTGCTTTTCCAAGTATCTTGACAAAGAATCTTGTCCAATTCCACTGCTACTAGGGTTTAAGGTCTCTTTAGTATCGAACAACTTGTAGTGTCTCACCAAAGCAAAGGACTACCTGAGCTTAAATACTATTCATGTAAGTCAACAGAGGCGAGATTTAAGAACATCACGTGATCCACACCGCCTTTGCCGAGATCGGTATACACTATGCAACCAGGAATGCACGTCAAATTGTTTTAATCGTTTTAACAGAGTGCTTTAGGTTGAAGTAACTCTTATTTTACAAACAACATATTTAGTAAAGTGAACCATACAGCGGGTTGGTTTCACTAAAGTTTTCTGGGTTAATTTAACCAATTTAAAAAAAATAAAATAACTATCTGGTTTAGTACCGTCAAACTAATCTTTGTTTATATTAACCTTCCCACAGTTGATTTAAATAAATACTTATGGGTCAACTAAATTAATATAGTTAAATGAACTATTTCTTTTTTTCTGTGTAGGTGCACTTCACAAATATTTTTAGATAAACACCGTTTTGGTGTTTGCTGTATATAACATTTTCAACGATAATTCATGGTGTTTATATTAACACCACTTGGTGTTGGATTTTGACACCATTTTAAGATTACTCTTTACACCACAGATATTTAAACAGTGTATCTGCGAATAATTTGCCGTGCATTCTTGGTTGCATAGTATGTACCGATGGCGGCAAATTTTGCCCGATTTTATCATCCACGAGATTAAAAAATGAGTCAATTTGACAACGAAACTGTCAACAAAGAACAAAACATTCAAAAACTACTCTTTCACCTGGTAGTAGTTCATTTCATAGTGTTCGCTCGTCTCGCAGATGTCAGATTTCCCGATAGAGTTTTTGTACGGTATTTAATGCGCGATCGTTATAATTTGCTCTCGTACATATAATAGATTATTGGTTGCAGCTGTTGGAACACAGTCCCTATAGTATTTTATGTAAATATTGGCTGATACGACAGCGTAGAGACGCGAAATTTGCCATTCAAATTTGAATTTATTAACACGACATTGTACGCCAGTTGTAAGTGTTGAATGTCCTTTGCATTTCAAATACGAAGCGCTGCTCATTGAAAACCAAACATATCGGAGTATAAGTTTTTTGCATTTTTTCTTCAAAGAAAAACCACCATTGTATTTTAATAAAAACACAAAACAAACTTCGAGGTTATGTCTGGTTCAGTTCTTTAACATTTCACTTCAATACAAAGAATTTGTTCACCGTGGTCACAAATGAATCTCACGATTTCTAATAGAAATCTAGTTTTTTTTACTTTTGACACCAGTATTTAAATACTCAAAATTAAGAGGTAGTTAATACTTAGATTTAGTCTCAATTCAATTGGTTAAAGAAATAAAATAAAATAAAAGAAATCGTTTTTTATAAGATAATAATTAATAAGCTTTGTGATCAAATCAAAGCTACTTGCGTCTCAGTACCCTATAAATGTCAGAATGACTTGACAGTGACTTTTACATTTTGGTCAAAGTAGGTTGTTTGTTTGGTTGCCACGGGCATGATACATTGTTAGCAAATGTTTAAATAAATTTTGACACTTCTCAGTTTTTCCTGCAGAAAAAGGAAGCTTTGTTTAAGAAAAAAACGTATATCAGGAGGAAACCGATGAAAATTACGTTCCTGAGATGCTTACAGCAAGGAGTTCAAAATGTTTGAGTCTTGGATGAATTCACGGAAGATAAAAGGTATCGATGAAAATGTTCCATTGGCTTATTTTTTACATTTGCAAAAAAATTAGCCCCATCGTCGCTATGGACCAAATACTCGATGCTTCGCTCGACTATTCACCTTTATAAAAAAATCGACATTTCAAAATATGGCAAAC